AGGAAAAAAAATAAAATTGAATGATAACTCTCACCATAAATATATCTAAAAGTACCTGAGGCTATTTTTACCTGGGAATAGAAATTTCAACATAACAACTATACACAACCATCCAAATTGAATTTGGAACAAAAAATTATATCATTCGTCCGCAGAGAGAAATCAAATTGTGATTATATCTTATTGAAAACCAATTGTTTCATGGGTAAAATTTCATCACACCAATTGTTAGATAAATAGTCTAATTGATTGTATGTGTAAATGATTTTATTTTGTGTTCCAAACTCAGTTTGGATGGCTGAATATTACCTGTAATGTTTGATAACAAATTCAGGTAGAAAGAGAAATACAAAGAAAGATAAAAATAATACAAGACATGATTCGTTTCGATTTGCTATTTCAAAACTGATGAAGATGATGATAGGATGATGAGGGATTAAGAGTGAAATGATGAGGGTTAAGGAGAGTAACGAATTGCTTTTCAAATGAATCTACTCACATTGATTGAAATTGTGGTTGGGTGAAAATATTATTAATAAAAGATTGATATTTAACCCAGTAAATCCTAATCCGATTTGTGCTGCTTCAGTTTTATCTTCATTTTCATCCCTCATCCTCATCTTTTTTTTTCTTCCTTCTTTTCTCTCACTCTCATCTTCAAATTATTGTTCCTTCTCTCTTTCTCTCCCTTTCTCTCTCTCCTTTTCTGATTCCTGAGAGTTCTGAAGATAACATGATAATATAGTTTGAGGTTTACAACCATGTTCGTAAAGGTAATGAAGTGTAAGCTTGAGAAATAGAAATATATATAAATGATGAAGATAAAAAGTCATCTCTTTATTATTTCATCTTCATCTTCATCATCTAATGACTTTTCATCACTCGAATCTGTTTATTATTGTTACACCGTTTGACCTAATTAAGTTTGACCTTCATAAGCTTACAGGGAATTATATATCAAGTCTCAACATTTAACCTCTTACAGGGAAGATGAACTTTGAAAGTCGATGAGAAAAGTTTAGTTATCTGATTCAGCAACATTATTTTTACTCTTTTTTTATCCTGAAAATTGATTCTACCTTTGAAATGGTATCAAATCAAATGCATAGAGAACATGATCTGTACTTTTTTTTTCTCTTCCACCAAAAGGAAGAAATTAAATTAATCAGATTCTTTCATCATTGACTTTATCGATTATATCATGATAAGGTTTCAATGTGGTTCTTTTTTCATAGGGTAATCTTCATGACAAAATAATCAATCAATAACATGCGTATTGAATGGATGGGCTGACCGATTGGTGTAAAAAAGTTCATGGAAAACTTTTCCCAATTCAATTTGAATATTTCTCTGTCTATGATAGCCAATGATGAGAAAGTCTGGAAACTTTTCAACCAAATTCTCATGAAATTTGAAATGTTATAAATTTCATATTGAAATTTTATATTCTTACGACAAATAAAAAATCGTATTATTCAAATTCAGATCAGAAAATTGGAAGATAAATTTTCATATCCAAGAGAAAACATAGAGATGGACCGAAAGAGCTAATATCTTTTCAGAAAGTTCTCTGATTTTATCGAAGTTATCATTTTTCGAATCAGCTGATTTCTTAATTTTGTCGATAATTTTATAGCAAAGCTAATAGATGACAGAAAAAAATTCGAATTTTTTAAATTTTCAAATTATTAGAATTTTAGACAAAAAAAAGTTGCCAAACTTTATCCCCACAGGTTAATATACAAAATGTATTTCTGATTCCTGAATAATTCAATTGGTAATATTATTATTTATTTCTGGTACATGATCAGATTATACATGTATATTGGTGTATATATTATATGTATGAAAGAAATATTCTTATAACAAAAGGAAAAGAGCATCTTCATCTTGAGATTATTCATCATGTGAATATATTGATGATAAATGAGGAAGATAAACCAGAAGTCAATATTGAAACAATAATAATGATCGAGATAAACTGATTCTCAGATTCAGGGACCAGAATTGATTTCTGGCCAACGAGATAATTACTATCAACTCTAGAATCTAATAAAGTGATATTAGTGTTTCAGAAAGCACTTAATCATAATTACCATGGAAAATAAAAGTTTAATATTAATAATAGTTTACTTGCAATCGATTTAATATTTGCTTAATTAACAATCATCAAATTGTACTCATTTCATGTAATAGATTAATGAAAAATGAGAAAAAGTGAAAACTTTTTTTAATCAAATTACTAACTAATCAAAAAGCGAAAGCAAAAAGAGACAGAGGAAGAAAACAAAGTGGAAATTAAATTTAATCAACAAACTGATCAACACAATTTAATCTAATTAGTACTTTGATAAGGAGCGAAAACCATTTCACCATCTCCAATAATAAGTAATGATGATTGTAAATGAATGGTAATCATATTCATCTCAACATCTTCAACCTCATGGTCTTAACAATAATCCAAATGAAAATGTAGGTTAAAAGACAAGGTTGGATTTCCAAAATTCATTACATCACATTGATTTTGTATATCGATCATATTTAATAACATATATTAACTTAGGACCTCCTCCCAGTTTTGTCTTTGATAATGTTAATGATGATGACGAAGATGATGATGATAATGTTTGGGTAATATTTAGCCCTCAATACAAGGCTACACAACAATGAAAAGAGAGAGAGAGAGAGATTAGACAACATTGAGATACTATTATTATCATTAGTGACTAAAGTAAAACAATCTCAATCAATCGATTGCATATAATATATTATATGCACTCTCATTTTTATATATCTGTCTACATCTTTTCGCTTTTCTATCATCAATGTAGTAGACTGGAAATGATGATGATCACTATGGAAGACTATGATGATGATAATAATAATAATAGTGTTGGAATCACTCCCTGCATGGTTATCAGATACACACACACACATATTGAACTCTAATCAGATGAAGAAAGTTTTCTTGGACTCTTGAGTATGTATCTTTCTTTATACTGGATACTTAATATAACGGTAGATTATTAGATAGAGAGGGAGAGGGAGTGAGAGCGAGAGGGAATTCTGATAATTCCAGATATATGCTATAAACATTGTAAGAGAAAAAAAAAGAAGAAAAATGAAAAAGAAGGCGATACAACGAAAAAAAAGATGTTCGAGAATCTTTTTTTTCCTTCATCTTATCTTTCCGTTGTTTCTTTTATCTTCATCACTATCGTTGGAGTGATAATTCAATGGAGAAAAAATCTTTAAATGTATATCGAGGTTGAGCTTTTCTCTTCTCTTATATTGATAACATTGTTGTTGATAATAATGATATCAATAGAATGATAAAGGGAAATGATTATAACCATGGAGTAAATATTAGAAAGAAAATAATAAAAACTGAGAGTTGTTTTCTCCTCAACAAAAAGAGAGATGAGAATGATTCTTATGGTGAATCTTTTTTCTCCCAAGGCGTTTTACCAAAGTGTTTATCAAAAGTTCTCACAAGTTATTTAATTATCATTATCTCTTTTCTTTGTTTAGTATATTCTCTCCATTTTTCTGTATCATGCTAGAGAAATTATCATCTTTCATGCTGGAACAATTTACTATTTCATATTTTATATTATCTTTTTCGTGTTGAGAAAGTAAAAAACTTTTACTTCTTGTTGTTGATTGTTTATTTCAATTTTCTCAGAATCAAAAGTATATCGAGTTGATTATCATGATAACTCTCATAATAGGTAAACAAAAATTGTAATCTCATGGTGATGAATAATGTATTATTATTATTATTATTATTATCATGATATTTGAAAGAGTATCCTGAAATTATAAACAAGTATGATAGATGTATAAAATACTTTTAAATGAGTTGTTGTAATGGAAACATTTCCATGGTCCCTCCTTCATGATGGATTCATGGTGAAAATCAACTCAGATAATAATAGTAATTATCATTATCATCATTGTCGTTATTATTCAAAGTTGATTGCGTGATAAATAAGATATAGTTGAGATAATCATATTATATTGAAATATTTTTTTCCACCTTTCCATCCTCATCTCTCTCTCTCTCTCTCTCTCATATCCTTCACCAACCACCATCATCATTATCATCAACTTACTCCATCCCTTTACTTTCATAATATTAATAATAATAAATATATATACACATATAATAACCTATCAGAATATATAATTAGTATCATTATTATCATTCGGAATAAGCATTTTCTTTGTCAGAATTTTCTCCATCGTTTTAGCTTAATCAGCATTCTAATATCTATCTTTCATTCCTTATAACATTCAGCTTATTAATTTTTAAAGGAAAGAAACAGAAACTTATTCAGATTTAAATTTATGTAAATTATCCTCTCATGAAATCTTCTCTCAAACTGAATTCAATGTCTCTTATTCTAGCCCATATTCATCATAATTTTCAAGAGGGATAGGAAGAGAATAAGTGAGAGAGAGAGAGAGAGAGAGAGAGAGTCAGAGGTAGCAAAAAGTTACTTGAAAATTAAATTATCCTGAAAATAATGAAATACTCATGATGAATATTGTAAATACAATATTTATACCATTTGAATTTTAATTGAAATTAGCCTTGAACAACTTGTTGTTTTTTTATCTCCTTCTATTCACATGTATGGATACATCAACATTCACCATGGACACTGTTTCAATTCAGAATCTATCACGAACGTTCAAGGTTATCTATCCTCAAGATTCCTCAAGATTGGAATTAGGAAAAGAGAGAAAATTGAAATGAATTTTCTGTAGTAATAATAATAATAACGATTTAGAAAATTTTATGTGATGAATTGAATTCTAATTGGATATTGGGATATTTTTATCTAATGTCTCCTGGATGAATGATGGAAATACAATAAGAGGACAACTATGAAGATGAATATATATACATGTAATAATAATGGATAATAATTCATGTGAGAATTTTTTATTCTTTCACTTGGACGAACTTTGGTTGACAAATAAAGAGAACTTACTGAATTGAGGAGATTCATCTTGGACCAAATCTTCAGCATTTGAATATATTGTCGGTGAAAAGTGCAGTAAAAAAGCGAGAGAAAGTGATAAAGATGATAAAGTTACACAGAAATGATGATAAGCCATATGAGAGCTAACAAGTGAATGTGATGAAGATAAACAGAGTGAGAGAGAGAGAGAAAAAAGAAAATAATAATAATGATAACAATAATAATAATAAAGAAAAAAAGAACAAATTTGTTGAGATAAAATATCCAAATAGATTGCGGCTATTTAATAGTAATTAATCCATGGTTATAATCATTTTTTATGATTATCAAAGTGTCTATGTTCACATGTTGGTGAAGAGAGAGAATAACAAATAACATATAACGGTAAACATTACACATGAGAATGAGAATATAAGATAAATTGATGCTGACTAAAAGAGGAAGAGAAAGTGTGTCTGTGTATGAGAGAGAGATAGAGAACACACCTATGGAATGATGAAATGTATAAGATAAACAAATAGAAATAAAAAAATGGCTGAACTGTATGATCGAAGATCATGAAAAAAGATTCTACCCAAAAAGAAAATCAATTTTATCATCTTTCTTCTGATTCTTCTCACTCATCTCTTTCCATTCTGAGTTAATCACCAACTCCATCTATTAGAGTTCAGTGTATCGTAATATATATAAAATGTTTGAGAAAAGAGAAAAAGATAAAAACATTAATACTAATCAGAATTTACTTGGAACTTGGCACAAACAGATAACTGATGAAAAGGGTTGATAAAATTACTCTAATTATCTTTTCATGATAGATGAAAGATAAACAGAAAAGGGGAGAAAATAATTCAGAGAGATTGATTCGATTAACTGTCAAGTGGAATTTTCTACAATTTTGAATTTACCGCCAAAAAGAAAAGAACAGAAAATTCTGCAATTTTTGTACTTTCGGTATCAATGACGTTTTTCTATCAGTTTAATGGTAGAAACAAATTGTTTCCAATTGACAATATAATCTTTTGATTAGGAAACAATTAACGATAACTGATTAATTATCGTAATGATGATGAGGAAAAAAAAATCAAAGGGCAAAAATTATGATTGGTATGGAAAAGGTGATATCACATGTTGATATAATTGATTCTTTTTCTCTTTTTTATCTTCCTACTCTAATTCATCATCCATATCTTGAGATGATGATGATGAAAATAGACAGAGAAATGAAATTAAAAAGACAGAGGAAAAAAATAGAAAGGAAAAAATTTCTCTTTGTAAATTTATCTTAACTTTCAACATCCTGATGAATGAAGATATTACATTTCTGATGATTAGAGATGAAAATTTATACGTTGATGAAGATGATCAAGGGTAATCAGCACGTTCAAGGAACGTTTTCAGTCAATTAATCAACCAATTAATCTAATCAAATTTAATCTTCTTTCTCTCCGACTCACTCTGGAAACAATTAAATTTGATTCTCATTCTAATTTGCCTGCTTATTTTAACATCAACCATTGGATAGATTGGATTTGCTTTTTGTTTCAATTAAACTGAAAAAAAAAATCACCAAGTGAACAAAAAACAATTCAAACGGCAACAATTAGATGGAAAACAATTAACTGTATACTTATGGTTTTCTAAATTGTTACAATTACAACCCTTTAAGAACAAAACTTAATTGTCTAAGGTCAATAATCAACCGATTTGAATTGGAAAATCTTTTCTTGCTTTAGCTTTTTTTTTACAATCATCATAACGGTTTGCTAATGCTCAGAGATAATCTCATAAATTTTGATTACTTTTGAAATTTTGTGCCTCCATTTTAGATAATCAATTCATCATAACATATAAATATATCTATTCAACACCTACTCCACCATCATCATCATCATCATCATGCATTTTACCGTTATATTTGCCTTCCAAATGATAATCGACATCCTGATCCGTTTACCCTTCAATTTTGCCTTTAAATTTAAAGTTCACCTGAAAAATGGCCTAACCGCAAGACGACAAAACCTAAAATCATCATCGACAACTACTACTCATCATCATGTTAATCATTCTCAACACCATAATCATCACCATCTTCATCACTCAAACACTCAAGAATCTTCACCCGATTACCTGATCAATGAAGTACAAGTAAGTCAATCATTAAACCTTTTCCGTTTCCCTTTTCAATCCACCCGGTTGGTTTCCTATTCCATGGTGATAAATATCGTCCAAAAAAAAAAGATCTGATATATATATGAGTTTGTAACGAAGAGCAAAAAAAGACTTCAGCCTCATCCACTACATCTTCATCATCATCATTATTTTTCATCATCCATCATGAGTTATATGTTTTTTTTTCTGTCTTCTCATCACCACAATATCAGTTTGACAGAAAACTGAATTCGGTATTTTTTTTGTTATCATGAAAATTATCTCCCCTCACCCAAAGTTACCTTTCTACTAAACAAATATCATTGTAATGTTAAAGTTTGATGATGATAAGATTGTCACCACATGATGATGATCATCACCAGCACCATCAGAACTAATCAATCAAAATGAGGTGATGATGAAGAGAAGTGGAAAGAGAGAATAAGAAGAAGAAGAAGAAAAAAAAAACTTAATCCATTTGACAGCGAATACAAACAAATAAGCTTATTGTCACAAACTGATGATAATCATGATGATCATTATCACCATGTAATATTTATGGCACAAGAAACTGAGAAAAACTAAATGGAAATAATGTTCTAAAATATAATAATAATAATAAAATAGAACGAATAGAATTTCAGTTGTTATCATTATTCTTATCACCGAATGGTGATTACATGATGATAATATTAACATTCTAATATCCTGATTATCTCTCTCTCTCTTTCTTTTTCTATTCGAACTGTAGTTAACTTTACTCAAATATCTTCCACTTCGAACCATCTCTCGACTCTGGGGATTCATGACATCTATTTATTTACCTACCTGGTTACGACCATCAATCCTGGGCTGTTACTCACGTCTATTTAATTGTCAGCTAAAAGAAGCTGAAATTGATGATTTCCGTTTGTATCCCAATTTGCGACAATTTTTCACTCGATCATTAAAACCTGGTTTAAGGCCAATAGCTTTAGGAGATAATCTTGTAAGTATTACTATCTAATAAATGTCGTCTTAAAAAAATAAACCTTAACGAAACTAAGATAATCAACACTAATCATTTTACCTCAATTACAATTGATTAGGTTTTTCTTTCATCAAATATTATAAGGTTTTTAATTCATTGTATTACTCATTACAATTAATCCTTACCAACAACTAGAGCAACATGATAGTCATGAAAATGATGATGATGATCAACTTAAACTGAAAGTAAATATGAGTGAAAAAATCATAATATCATAAGGAAGATGCAATTAACTTTTCCTTTGCAATACGAGATATTTACTAAGGAAATGATATATTTACCTGTTATTAATGATAATTTTGTTTCGTAAATATTATTAGCATGAAGATAATGATGATGATGATGATGATGATTAAGTATTAGCTACATATGATATTTATCATTGACTTTTTGTATTTCTGCTGCTGTCATCTACAAATGAACTTGAAATGATGATGAAAAATAATCACTTGAAAGCTTCATGATGATTATCGTTAATTTGTTTAGTATGATCAGCATCATGATCGTCATAATTGTTGATATAAATGTTGAGAAAATTATTCATCATGATTAACTCACCTTTTTCTTTTGTTTTTTACTGAACAGGTAAGTCCAGTTGATGGAACTGTTTTACACTTTGGACTGGTCAAGGAGGGAAACATTGAACAAATTAAGGGTGTTAACTTTACCACCAGGTCATTTCTTGGACCTCAAGTTTGGGGTTCATTGGAAAAGGGTGTGAATAATATCAAATGTATTGATAATGATGATGAAACATTGAACAATTATACTGAAAGATTAAAGGTTAATCAAGATAATTGTCTCTATAATTGTGTCATCTACCTTGCTCCTGGAGATTATCATAGGTTTCATAGTCCAGCTCAATGGAAAGTTGCTTTCAGGAGACATTTTCCAGGTAAGAAATTTAAATACAATCAACTTTTTTTTATCAATTAACTGCTGATTGGCTTAAACAATTAACCCAATAAAGTGTTAATCTGATAATAATAATTAACTGATCTGTTTAACAACAATTTACCTTTGAGCTCAATCTTGGGTTTATCTTTACAATCAACTTGAGTTCAACGTTTAAAGCTTATTATTAGATATCAATTCAGTTAATTGTCGATTGATTGTTGATTGATTAACTAATATGGTCTGATATTATTATCTAATATCAGGCGAGGAGGGAAAAAAGTTTCCCACTCTGATTAAGTTCAGAGTATCTTTTTTCTTACATAATCTAAATCATTCAATGGAATCATTTTCGTAACGATTTACAAATTGAACTGAAAGGAAAAAAAACTTTGACCCTTAATTTGATTGTTACAAATTGGAAAAGTTGAAGGAAAATTTAACATTATTATTATTACACATCAATTCTGATTCTCACTGAGTTCTGATTTTTATTGTTAACTTTTTTCATTCGGAAATTTATCCTGACAAAATCACCAGAGACTCATTGAAATGCTCATGCAAGTGTATCTTTGTGATACTTTAAATTTACTCGACTTTGATATAATAGTAAGTAAATAATAACTGTGAATGAATAAAAAATGAAGAGAAAAAATTTGTGAAAATATCAAAATTGTGATGTAAGAATTTGAGAATTTTAATATTTTGTAAAATTCATCTAAAGAAAATCTCTTTTCTTTTTTTGATGATGGTTGTATCTCTCAATCTGATTGACACTTATGGTTGTTACCATTGAAATTCAGTTGTGAAATATTATCTGTTGATTACCCGTTATAACAATTCTCAATATCTACTGGATCAACCTTGATAACGATAATGATAATGATAAGATTTTTATCTTTATTGTCAATGAACCAAAATAGATAAAAATTCTGAGAACTGAAAAATAGGTAAACCCCTTTATCTTAGATACACATTATCAGTTGAGATTCAGGTAACATATTTTACAGTTAGAATAACATTAAACACCTAATGGACTTTACGTTGAAAACTTTATACACACTCATTTGGCTCCTTCTCATCACCATCATCATTATTGTCATCATAATCATCGTAATAAACGATAATACCATTGTCGATGATTGTGATCTGAACATTTTCTCACCAATGTTCATATTATTAGATTTCACTTTTTTTTATTGGTCTCTTATTTCACTCAAATCGATCCCAATTGAATCATCATCATCACCCATTGACACCCTCTTGCCACCACTGTTGATGTTATCATTATCACCCCTCAAGAAATTATAACAAATTGTATCACCGAGAAAAAAAAATTCACAGAGATTTAGAGGGAAAGTCAATAATGAGAACATGATTTTATCATCATGATAACATCGTTGAAACTGAACCTCAGATAAATCAGATTGGTGAAAATAAGAAACACCGATAAACTTTTTTCTCTTCCCAATTCATTTGTAAACAGAAAATATATTTTTCTCATCATGATAAACACTGAATTTGAAACAGAACTTTTTTTCCAATTGTTTCCTTTTCTTCATGGAAAATTCATTCTCAATATAATTCCCATGTGTTCTGTTTACAGATTGATTCCATTTTTTTTTCTCTCATGTTAGCTTTTTACATAAGCTATTACCATAGAATCTGAACTTACCTTGATATATATATAAATCTATTTTTCAGAGACATTTACCATGTTCAGATTTTAGAATTTGAAATTTTATTCTTACCAATTTCTCTTCATGGTAAACAATCAACTTTTTCTGTACAGAAATTTATCCAATAATAATAATAGTATTAGCGAAATGATATTAGTTGATGTTGGCTCTTGATTATCATGAAATCAACATGAAAAAGTATTCGTTGGGTTATATATTTTTTCACTCTTGCTGTTCACCATTTTGACAGATTTTATACTGAAAGGAAAATTCTGATATCATGAGTTTCATGATGATGATTCAATTGTATATATATAACTGTTTTTGGAAGCATTTTCTTTGGGAGAATTTTGTTTTCCTTCATTTTTTCACCATTTCAAGTTCATCCCCTGGTGAATTATATTCAACAGTATTTCCACAATTTTATATCATATATGTATGAAACAGAAATATGAAATAGTAAAGGGAAATTTGTTTATTCTAGAGTAAGGAAGAAATAAAAAAAGAACTTCTATTTTTATATCTCAAATTGGTGAATATATGAATGAAGAAAATATCAAAATTCTTGGTGTATATTCAATCATTTCAATTACATTTCATGGTGATCATCGTTATAAGTTTCATGAAATCAATTCAAATTCAAAATGTAACAAGTAAGCAACATGAAAAAAATGTTGTATTTCATTATCAGATCAACATAATAATCATGATAACAAATCTGATTTTGATGAATCAAATTCATAGTATTCATCATGAAGAAAAAATTGTGTTCCAATACAAAGTTCAATGATAACTGTATCATGATTAATTGAAAATGATACAAAAAAAAATATTTGAACAAAACCATCACCATGTAAATCTGAACTAACGATTAAATTTATAATGAAAATGAAAAGCTAATCAGTTGATTGATAACTCAGAGAACTCAGATCCATGGTGAGAATTTATTGTTATGAAAAGTTTTTTTTCCTCTCTGATAATGATTGAATTTCAATCTCTATTTATTTTTTTCTCTCTCAGTATCAACATGATTTATGAGTTTTGTTTCCCATTTCCTCATGAATATAAACCAGAGAGATTTGATTTCAATGGTGAAACAAGTTTCAAGTTTAATCAATAGGATTGAGATTGAAAGAGAAAAAAATGAAAAAAGTTTCCATGATAATCATGATGCAGATAAACTGTGATTCTGTTTCATTATAACTGAATTGAAGTCACGTTGAAATACAAAATGATTACACTCAGTTGGAAGTGGATTAAAAATGTTATATCAATTGAATCCCATGGAAAATGAAACAAGTAACATGATAAGTTAATCTTACCTGTTAATCTCATGATAAATCTGAGCAAATGTTTACCTGTAACTTTTTATCAATTCAGTTAATCTTATGCATTTCACATTATTTTTTTGCTGGTATTACACCAAAGAAAAATCTGATTCATGATAATTCAGTAGGTTTGATAATAAATAATAAGTTGCAATCCTTTCATTATAATAATAATAATATTTATCTCGTTTCCATATTCATCTCATGTTAATATTAGTTTATCATTCAGCATGATCATGATTGAGATGATGATGATTATTATTATTATTATTATCAGTTGAATATGATTAGTTTATCTTGATTGGATGATAAATACTGATTGTATTACATTTGGGATGAAATCTGATCTACTATTCCGATAATAATACCATGAAATTATGATAAGAAAAAAAAACAAACTTATCATGACAAATATTGTCACTTGAATGATAATATAATAATTATGTTACTGAACATCCCTTTGCCTTTAGTTTAATTGTTTTCCAACGACAATCAGTTAATTGTGAAAGCAAAATGTGTAATTTGTTGGTGATAATAATTTTGGAATTTGTTTTTTTTCTCTTTATCATTTGATTCTTTATTTCCATGGGAATTCAGGTTATCTACTCAGTGTTCACCCTTCGTTTGTTGGTAGAGTTAAAGGTTTATTCACAATTAATGAGAGAGTTTCTTACCTCGGTTCATGGGCTCATGGTTTCTTCTCAATGACCGCTGTTGGTGCGACCAATGTTGGATCGGTCAAGACCTATTTCGACCCGGTAAGTGATTGTTTGTGCTACCAGAATTTTATGTCTCTCTATTACCATGAAATTTGAAACTTGGAATTTGATTCTAACGTGACAATTTTTTTTTTCAATATTGAAAATGTTTAGAGTTTAAAAACAAATAAATTCAACTGGAGGAAAACACCTAATCCATATAATGACAAAGTCTTTGATGAATCGGTAAACTTTAACAAAGGTGATCCATTTGGTGAATTTAACTTGGGGTCAACTATTGTCCTGCTATTTGAAGGTCCACGTAAATGGCGATTCTCAGTTTCACCAGGTTCTAAGGTCAAATATGGTCAACTTTTATTCAATAACACCAGTTCAACCAATAAAATATCACCAACCAGGTAACATTTATCACCTTAGGACTACAAAACTTATATAAATACACAACAACTGACCACTCACTCTCTATCTCTCTCTCTCTCTCTCTACTATCCAAAGAGACAAAATGTCCACTACAATGTAATTTTTACTATCTAATAATATTCTAACTACGATAACAATAAATTAGTGAAACAATTAACAAAGAAACAAACAAAAATCTACCTCAAAATTAACTATCAACAATTTATTTCCATTCAATATTAACTTGAATTCTCAATTTATTAACGATATAATATTATATGATGTAAATTCCCTGAGATAAAGTATAAAAGGTTGGCTGAACTTTTTTGCTTGGTGAAATAATTATCTCATTAAATTCTGTATATATATTCACATAATATTAACAATAGATTATCATGGAAAAAAAAGGTTACATGACAATATTCTCAGGGTATAAGCTGAGCTATCGTAGGAATAAAAGAGCAGAGGAAGAAGACGAGAAAAAAAATATGATAAGCTCAAGATTTTCTGGAAGAAAGTTGAAAATTGTTGAAAAGAATAAAAGAAAAAAAAAGAAAACTCAACTTTGTGAAAAATTCAGTGACAATTTATCATCATCAGAATCAGAATTATATTATATTATATACTGAATATATATGAACAGGGAGAGAGAGAAAATTATTACATGATTATCATTTAATTTCATGAGATAATAATATAGTTATTAATGGATGAAACTTGTTGGCTCAACTTTTTCCCTTTCGTATTTATATTAATAACGACGATTGAGCCATCGACTCATCTAACCGTAAATTTGATTGTTAAATCAGTTTCAACCAATTTATATATATATTTGAGTGATTAACATGAAGCAAAAATTGATTTTGCAAGTTAATCATTATCATGATAACAATTTAAACTTTTCTACTGATTATCTATACTAATAGGATTATAATAGTTACTCAACTAGAAAATGGAAAAAAAAAAAACTTTTAATATCAGAATTTAAATATTAGAACTTTTTTTTTCGAGCTTTTTCTCAACTGATTTAGTTTTGCACTTTATTATTAAATTGATTATTAAATTACGAAGGGTAATAATTATATTAATGATTAGGTTAATTGTCACAATGAAGTAATGATCATTTTCCTTCCGTGTGTTCACCTCATTTGAGGAAATTTATTAGAAACTGAGGTAATCATGATATTGATGATGATGAGAATAAGGAAGATGAAGAAGAGGAGGAGAAAAAGGATGAGGAAAGGATGATGATGATGATGATGATGATGATGAGGATATTGATGAGGATAAGAAATGATTCTGATTGAAATAATATGTTTACTTTCAGAGTGAATGTATTCTGATAACTCCCTTGGTGAATTTCATCCTGAAACTTGGTGGTCAGTTACATCTTAATAAATATATTGTTACATTAGTTTTTCCAATTTACCTCAATGAATCTGATAATTTTTATCCATCTTCTTATCATCATCATCCTTCTTATCGTCATCATCATCTTTCCAATCTCACTTTTCCTCTGTATCATTTTCATTTTGGACATTTGCTAAGTACACGTAAACAAGGTCCATCCCACTGGTCATTACCATTAATTTTGCCTTGGAACTTTTTTTTTTCTTCTTCCTTCTTCTTTTACCTTTTAATAACCTTGTCTCTTAGCATCCTCATCAATATTGCCAAATGATGATAATAATAATGATGATGATGAAGAGGAAGAAGGAGAAGGAGAAGAAAAAGAAAGAAAAAAGTTTTAGTGTCGAAAGAAAATAATATTTATTTCAATTCAATGATTATCGATGGAGAATAAGGTTTACCAATTGGGTTAGATTATTATCACAGAATCTAAAACATCAATTTCGAAATCATCATCATCATTATCTTCATCATTTTCGCAATAACAAACATGGAACATTTTTTATTCTCTCTCTCATTTTTTTCAGGTACTTTTCTTTTCTCTCTCATTTCCTTTCTCATATTCTTTTCATGATAAAATCAATTCTCACCCTGAATCTTATCCTAATGATACTTTTATCATTTCGTAGCAACGAAACTCATTTGTAATTCTGATAACATGATACCTTTCAAAAAGATCAATTGATTCACTTAATGATCTTCTTCTGATTATAAGACTAATTTTTTTTCGTCTTCTACCCCTTCGTAAATAAAAAGACAGAACTGAAAGATTATTTCTAATATTTCCTATTTTCTCTCTCTCTCTCTCTCTTCTCTAATTCTCAAAAAAAATCTCCATGAAATTCATTAGATAACTGAGAATGATGAAAAGGATGAAGAAGAAAAAAAATCTCTTTCCTAATCTAATGCTACTAACAAGCATTAAGAATCATGATTAATGATGATGATAATGATTTCGATTCAATATCAAGATTAAGGTGAACCCATAAAGGTTAAAGGATGAATTTGAACCATCTCAATTAACCTTTGACATAGAAACATCGTCGATAATTAAACCAAATTAACATTAAATTTGTTTCTTCCAGTTTCGACTTTCTCTTCAACGAAATCAATAAATTATCCCAACGAAAGAACCAAAAAAACTCCATCACCAATTCATTCATCTTTTCCGATAAACAACCAAAACAACAAAAGACAACATCTTGGTTAATTAATTGGAGAGAAAAAAAAATTTTCCAATCAATTAAATTTTCTGGTTAATTAACTGTTCGTAATTGGGAGACTTTCCCTTGGTTCAATTTCTCTTTCAGGTTTTCGTCACTCACACTGACATCTACCGGCGAAGGAAAAAAACTCTAACCGGGTTGAGTTGAAATTTTTTTTTGTGCTCTCCTGAATTTACCTGAAATTCTGAGTAAATACCTTTTATACAGTTTTCTGCACATCATATAGTTATTTGTTACGACATCACCTACTGAACAACACCTTAAAAGTGAAAATGGCTGCTCAACTTCCTGAAATAGACCAATTAAACCTTCTGGTAAGTCTCTCACCCTATACACCCCAAACCTCCAATGATGAACATACACTAAAATATACAGACATTTTATCAAACCAGACATTTATAATACAGACAATTTTATATACTCAAATCACTAAACTTACCTGTTAACCTTTATCTCTCTTATCAGACTGACCCCAAAAACCCAAGTGCTTCAAATCATGAAATCGCCACTGCTTTTGCCACTGAATACAACGTAGACAAAATACCAACTGAGAAACTCATTTCGCTTCTTGAAACATACCCGATTCTAAAATGGGCCAAATCTGCTCTTCGTAATCATGAGTGGACCACTAATGCCTCGTCTGAAGTCATCGTTAGAGTAGATAAATTCGTTGCCGTATGCATGAAACTACGAGATGAAGATAATATAAAACAAGTAGCCAAACCCTCGGAAATTCAACTAGACCAAATGAGCAACAACCAAATCAGAAATACACTAAGCATTGAATATGGTAAAAATAAAACCCGTCCATCAACATGGTTTAAAATTGAAGAACACCAGATGAATCCCGCTGTTATTATCAAGATTCCAACCATCAAAACCAAAAGACATTCATCAATTGGAGAACAAACTGTCGAGGCAATTGAACAGCATTTAGAATCTGTCGATGAAAACACTGGAAGAGTAGTAACAATTGAAGCCGGATTTGACTCAGCTAAAGTCAAATTAATGGACATTTCTGATCGAACAACCTTTTATAACTCTCTTAAAGTGAGCAAACCCGACTGGCAAGTGAAAATTCCACCTCTTATGGATCCTCAAATAATCTTACTTAACATTAAATTTGAGCCCGATAATGTCGACGCTTGGATTGATAAACTTAGAAAGAAAAACAGATGGGGTGATAAACACAAATTTCGAGTACTACATCATATGAGAGCAAGTTACGGTAAATTCAATGTGGTAGCTGAAATAAGCCCATCACTAAGAGAGATTATTCAGGATAATCATGGTCACATATTCTCAAACTTCGCTCTAATTCACGCCAAGGATTATTTTGATATTAAAATCTGCAGAAAATGTACCAAGTTTGGTCATACAGCTAAATCATGTCAAAAGATAACTCGTTGTCCTTATGATGGTGAAAACCACTTAAATTCAGTTTGCCCAATTAGCAACGACAAAAACAAATGGATTTGTCCTAATTGTCGAAAAATTGGTCATGATGCTTTCTCCAAACAATGTGAACTGTATGTAAACCGGTTAATGGCAGAAATTGAAAGAAGAAACTTTCAATACACTTGGATAATGAACTAATGTTTATACAAACAATTAACCTTTAAATTGATACCAATTAACAAATTATCTCTCTCACTCTCGATTAACACATAAACAAACAATTAATTAACAACTTCAGTTTAGTCCCGACAGTTACCCTTTTAACAATTCATCATTTTAACTAATAATCATCTTCTGATTCTAACATAAGTTCAATTCCCAACAAAACATTTAACATTATGAACTCGATAATAATACAACATCATGCAATCACCAAAGATTGGTTACAAATTGTTCAACCCAACCATCATCACTCTCTAATTGTTAAACATAAAAGATCTGTAACCCTCCGATCCTCAGTGTTTGAATTATCCTTTCAAATCAACCTTCTCATTAAACAGTTTCCTAGACCAAACAATAAAATTTCGTTCATTAAATTCAGCAACAATAGTTCAATCATTAGATTCTACAATCGAGAAGCTTTACTTGATTTCGCTTCCTTAGTTAAAACCACCAATATATTAAAAAGCTTTGAGGTTAAAAAGCAACCACCATCGATTAAATTCTCTATCAACGTAAGTGTGACTAACATCAACAACAACAACTTAACCCGACACATTATCTACTCCAATAATCTCTTAAGTGATAACCAAACTAAGGTAACAGACTTTAAAAGAATTGGTAGTAACCTTATCGTTACCTTAACCCTCAGTGAAGATAATCGAAACACCTTATTAGCGACTGGAGGAACGATTACTGCATATGATGAACAAATCAAATTCTGGGACAACATCAACCTCAAGTGCTGCTACAAATGTGGATCTTTATCTCACTTCTCTGCCTCGTGTAACAAACCCAAAATTTGTCTTCGCTGCTGTCGACCAACTCACAGCCATTGTATTAATCAACCTTGTTGCCCGAATTGTACAGTTAATCGTGAACACTTTTTTAATAGCACCTCTTGTTCAACTCTAAAAAACAAAGTCGCTTCTCTGGTTAAACCCTTTGACATTAACTACAATTGGATTATCTTACCCCCATCATTCACTAATTATCTCAACTACATTAATCTTTAACATGCATCTTTGGTACGCGAATGTAGCGAAATCAGCTAAGTGCACCTCCGATTTACTCATGAAAATACAATCACCAGATACTGTTGTTTGCCTTTTAGAAGCTGATTACAAAACACTAATTAATTCGTACAACCAACACTTCATCTTCAATGACTTCGCCGTGATAGCAACCAGCGATAACATTAAAATTAAAGCCAGAAACATATCGTGTCCCGGGATAATCAGCACCTTATTAGAAAACACCAATGGACAAATTTTCATTCATCTAATTTACCTATTCAACCTGATTAACCCTACAATGTCTTACGTTAACTTCACCAAAAACATCTCAGACCTCACCTCATTTCCCTCGTTAATAGTAGGTGATATTAACTGTAATCACTCCCTCTGGTCCCATGTTGTAGCAAACAAACTAACCAGAGGCAAACTCATCGCCAAATTCATCACTGAAAACAACATCACTGTTTTAAATCAACCTAATCCTGATAATCACACATTCCAAAGAGGCTCGATTAAAACTTGGATTGATTTGATCGCTTATACCAATTTAGATTCACCCACGTTAATTTACCATGATTTTCCTGCTGACCACCGTCTGTTTCAAGTAATAGTAAATACCAGTGAATATTTTGCCCTAAAAAACAACCCAGCACCTAAATACAAGATTAACAATTTACGATTACCATCCAACCTCAGAATATACCCTAACCTTCCGAGTAAAGTTGATGACCTCTTCTCTAAACTTCTAAAATTTCCACTTAGATTTCCAGTAATCAGAAACATTCAACCACGAGTACACGGTCAGCAAATACTAAAACTTAGACGTTTGATTAATAGAACCAAACGCCTGATTGCTGCTGGTAATAATGAATTAATTCAGACACTAAGAACCCTCAGAGAGAAAGAAGCTACTATCAGATTAAAAAAAGGGAAAAAGAAGTGGTCAAACATTAGAGATTCTAAGCTATTGTGGGTGAATCTAAACAGAGCATTCAAAGAAACGAACAATCTTAATCAGTTTATCTACTCCAATCCTAATAGAGACACCATCATAAAAACCTTTACCTCAGACAAACCAATCTTCTACCCTTTAGGTACCACATCACCATCACCACTAAACGAAGAAGAATTAAACCTCTTAGAAAAACTCAAGTTCAATAAATCGTCAGGTCAAGCTGATTCCTTCTCTCTCCCACAGTGGAATAGATTTTGGAATCGAAACAAAACTTTTCTCATATCCCTCATCGACCATTGTTTCAAATTAGGCTACATTCCTCAACCGATTAAACAATTTGGCCTCACTCTGATTCCCAAACCAAATGGTAAACTACGACAACTAAGATTAGCTAACTACTTCCTGAAGCCCTTTGATCTCATATTGACTACCAGATTACAAAAGAACCTCAACTCAACACTAACTCCTCACACTCAATTTGCTAATCAGAATAATGTAAACAACACCGATCTACACATCGAACTTGTTGAGCATATACATTTAAAAGACTCCATATTAGTAATGATAGATGCTGAAAGTGCCTTCGACCGAATCAGTCATGATAGTGTCATCAATGGTCTACCAACCAATATGGCCAAGGGAACAATTGGCCTCGTCAAGCAATTTTTATGCAATCGATGGTTACGAATTTATGAAGGCAACAAATTTATGTATCGCCGTGACTCAGAAGGAGTACCTCAAGGATCTTCTCTTGGCCCCATTCTTTTCATCATTGGCCTAAATTGTGCGTTGCAATCGATCACTAGGAATGGAGTTAAAGTTAAATCTTTCGCTGATGATATCGTGATTTTAACCAACGACAATCTCAAGGATCATCATGTCAATCTGGTCACCAATGAGCTAAAGAAAGTGGGATTAACTGTCAATGCCGAGAAAACTAAAATTGTCAACATCGAAAGTGAAGATTCAATGTTCACAGGGAAAAACATAATCAAACCCAAAAATATACATCAACTTAAACAAATCATTAGACACTCTACTTCCACTATTGGTTCACCCAAACTCCTTAACAAACTCCCTCCTAAAACAAAACAACTGTTTATTCAAGCTCATATTAATCATTTACTTTATGCTCTAGGTCCTGACATATTATATAAGAACAACAAATGGCTGAAAACAATTAATCAGATACAGAGGATAATATTATCTACGATGAAATCTCTAATCAACCCAAATTCCTTTTTGTCTGGGTGGATCCATTTGACTGGCGAAAAATACACTAACCCGGTGTTCACCTGGATATCGGATATTCACGTGAGCTTCCTAAGATCGGATGTTAACCCGGAGAATTGGCCAATGTTAGTGGATTTACCCAGACCAACCTACATCAATCAGCAATCACCTCCCGACACCATCCAAAATCTCTTCTGGCCTACTGTAACTTTCGAAACACACAACAACAAATTCATCGACATTATAACAGCAAGAAGTAGAAAACAATATTTACTGAATTCACCCGCTAATCACGTCGAAATACAACTAATTGCAATACAGTTAATGGTTTTACTCACCAGTGGCAAAAATGTTATATTTCTAATACCGAAACAACTCCTAAAGTTCCCGAACTCTAATACCCATAATGACATTTGCAGCATCCTCAAAACTCACACTGGTAGACACTTCATTCATCCGTTCGAACCAGAAAAAACCCAACTAGTTATCAACAGTCCAATTTTAATTAATCACACCCTCACATCGAGAAACTTGTACAAAAACGCTCTCAAGGAAACCTTCAACACCATTATCTACAAAAAGTACCTCAAAGAAAATAATCTGATTAACCTGATATTTGACACCAATGATAAAAAACTCTACAGATATGGTGGCGTTACCTTGAAGAAAATAATTCTGATCATCACTCAACTTCATAGGACAATCGGACTACGAAATCAAGCCAGGAAAACCAATAACAAACCTCGCAAACCCTTTAAACATTATCTATTTGAGTGCAACAACACAAGACCCTTTCACCTTAGTTCCTTCATTCTGAGAGGGAACTATCATGATAAACGAATCATAGATAATCTCACAAATATCCTAATCACCATTATGTCACTTAATCTCCTAAAAAAAGACCTTTTAGGTCGACCCTCAGTACCCTGAGTACTGAACCTCTTCTGAGGTACTACATAAATTCAATGTAAGCGGGTGTTAATTCACCAGACCTCCACTACGGAGGACCCAATAAAAATTTCTCTTTTTGATTTAATTGTTGCTTTTTCCTTTTTGTTGCTTTGTTAATTTCTTTTGACACCTTTATTTTTGTTTCTTTCCATTCTTTCAATTTAATTATCTGATTACCTTTTGGTGTAAATTAATTTATTCCCTAAATTGTTACCTTAACGTGTTACTAATCATTCAAATAATATGTTAACTATTCATGAATCTAGTGAATCAAATTCACGGTCCAATGAGACCATTACTAAGGTAAGATAATTGGAGATGATTTTCCAATATTTGTCAACTATTGAGTTCTCATGTTTTCCATTTTCCTTCCTATTTTTAATATAAATTTGTCATCTTTTACCTTTCTCTTCAATATCTCGGTGCACTTCTACCTGATGACAGTTCATAGATTATGTTTACTTGAGATTTTCTCTCGAATTTTTCTCGACATTTAAGCCTCTGTGTTTTCTTTTCCTATTTTACTCACTGTGTTTTCCTTACTCATTTTCTAATCTGTTTTTTTTTTGTTCTATCTCACTTGATTTATCTCGTATCATTATTTGGTTCACATCTTGTTTTATCTTCACACTCCCTTCTAATACACATACGTATCACACTCTCTTTCTGGCATTTGGTTGGTTCACTTTTATCGAAATACCGTTGGATTAAATTTGGAAAAAATATTCTCTTCTATACCAATTCTTCATTTAACACAATCGATTTCAACTTTAAAATCATTGGCAACATGAAGATGAGGTCTGATACAATTGATCTAAGTGATGATCGTACTTTACTTGTTGACATTAGTGATGCCTTGTCCGAAAAGGAAAAAGTCAAGTTTACCGTTCATACAAAGGTTTGTGTTGACAATTTTTTTCTCTCTTCTCAATTTCATTACAGTTTCCTCCTATTTCCAATTTTCCTCTCTAGCTCAATTCTTTCTCTACTTATCACTACCACCCAACTTAATCATCCCCACAATTATTATTGCTACTCAAGGTGACTGATTTGTAGCTTTAGCTGAATACACCCATAAGTGTATCACTCTCTCTCTCTCTCTCTTCAACACTGTCTGGACTCTTTCTCTCTCTCTTCTCTCAAACCACCCTTTTTATCTAAATTAATCCCTAATTTTTATTCTCTTTTTCTTTTTATTCTACAGACAAATTTACCTGGTTTTGATAAACCAGAGTTTTCTGTTGTTCGCCTTCATGAAGAATTTATTTGGTTACATGACACATTAGTCCAAGATGAAGAGTATAGCGGATTCATTGTAAGAGATCTCGTGCTGATCATCTATTGAAATTTTCTCTCACCTTCTCACCTTGAAATTTCTCTCTTTCTTTCTCTCTCTCTCTCTCTTTTCTAGATACCACCGCCACCACCTCGTCCAGATTTTGATGCTTCAAGGGAGAAATTACAAAAGCTTGGTGAAGGTGAAGGAACCATGACAAAGGAAGAATTTAATAAAACCAAGCAAGAATTGGAAGCTGAATATTTAGCCACATTTAAGAAAACAGTTGCCATGCACGAAGTATTCTTACAACGACTGGCTGCTCATCCAAAATTCAAGAATGACACCAACTTCCGAATTTTCCTTGGCTATAATGATGATGCAAGTTGACAGAAAAAAATCCTAATGATGAATATTTTCTCTCCCCATATTCATCACTGCCAATTACTTGGTTCATTCCATCTTATCACCCTCACACTCCCCTTTCTCTATTTATCATCCACTACTGATTGATTCATTGTCTCTAATTTTGTTTCAATTCTCACTCTCTCTCTCACTCTCTCTTTCTTCCCTTTACAGTTAAGTGTTCGAGGTAAAAATAAAAAGGAAAGACTAGTAGATTTACTGTCCAGGTATAGCAAATCCGCTGATGACTTGGTTTTGAGTAATACTCAGAAAGACATTGACGAGTTTTTTGAACATCAAAAAGTATTCCTGATAGAGTATCATAAGCACATAAAAGATTGTACCAGTAAATCAGACAGAATGACAAGATCTCACAAGAGTAAGTCTACAGTTCATCATCTTCATCTTCATTATGGATCTTGTTTTCTTTTTATTTTGTCTAATCCATTCTTCTTCTTATTGTGTTCTGAGAATCAAGAAAAGTCCTTCAGTCGCTTAACTCTTAATGGATCGATAGTTTCTCACCAGTCACTCAACAAACTGAGAGAGAAAGGCCATGTTGGTTGTCACTGTTGCTTGCAAGAATCATGTTGCTGGTTTATTAGTAATCAGTAATTAGCTATCACAATTTGTTTACATCCAACAAGATTTTTTTCTGATTGTTTTTGCTATTGTTTTGTTACCAATTAGTGATTTCCACCCCTTTGTTATCATTGTTATCAGAACTTTTCTTGTCTTAGTTGTTAACTATTTTTGAATTTATTTGTTTTCTTTCATTCTTCAATTTGATCCATTTTAATTGGAAAAAATATCCAATTTATCTTATTTTTAACGACTGCGTCTTAAACTACCAATTTAGCTTTGATTTAAATCATTAACTTTTATAATCTAACATAAACTTGTAGGCGTTTACCAAATTGAATAGCAATTAGATTGATATTGATTATAAATTATTCTCATATTAACCTATCTTACAAATGACAGGAAATAGTTTGTTGAATTATCAGAACTTTATGAAAAGATTACATTTCTTTTTTTATTTTGTTTTCCTAATTAGTCAAGTGATTAACCGATATTTCAATGGAAAGTCAAAGATACATTTCAATCTTTATTATCCAGTAGATTTAATTGAATATTTCTCATAATGATGATATTAAGTCACCTTTTCTTTGCGAATTTGACTATTAATTTGATCTCATTTTAATTTCTTTAGATGTGGCAGGTAGTTACAGTCGAATCGCTACCGATTTAATTGGCCTTTCAACCGTTGACTCGAATAAATTGGAGAAATATTATGCTAAAAATGCCGATTGTTTTGAGAAAGCGCGAAAATCAGAGGAGCGAATTGCCTCAGACGAGGATCTAAAATTATCCGACACTTTAAGATATTGGATGAGAGAAACGGCCGCAGCAAAGGTACAAAAAAAGAACATTAATTTTGATTAGCTAATTATAATGATGGATTTTTTTGGATTCTTTTAGGATCTTTTATACCGGAGACTTCGATGTCTTGCTAACTATGAATCGGCAAATAAGAATCTCGACCGTGCTCGTCTAAGGAACAAGGAAGTTGCTCTTGCTGAAGATGCTCAACAAAAAGCGGGCGAAAAATTTGAATCAATATCCAAATTAGCTAAACAAGGTAATCCAATCATTAACCAACCAATCATTCAATCAATTTTAATATATTCACATATAAAAAAAATTTGATTCTAATTTCTCTTTGCTCTATTTCTTTTCGCATCCATTCAGAATTACAAGATTTTAACTCACGACGAATCATATTCTTTAGGAAAAATTTCGTTGATCTAGTTGAATTGGAACTTAAACATGCAAAGGTAATAATCTAATTTGATTCTTATTTTGTAAATTTAAATGTAATCAAATTTTTCTTCTCAATCTCTTCCTCTTTTACCATAAATGTAACCCCATTCTCTAGGCACAAGGACAGCTTTACAAGAACTTTATTACATCACTAAAAGAGGAACTTTCATCAAATGATTAACGTTACCAAGGAAATTTATATTACTCTAAAACAGCATCTATGTTATATTTTGAAGGAAAAAAAAGAGAAAAGAAAGAGATAAAAAACAATCTACTAGGATTCATATCAAAAACGAAAAAAAAAAATATCTATCTATCTGTTATCTGCTCAAAATGATCTAATTTAAATGATGAAAAATGCAACCCTATTTATTAAGGAGATGGAGATGATGATGAAAATGATATAACCGCAACACTCAAAACATGGGAAGGAGAAAGAGGAACAAATTTACTACAACCAACAACAAGATGATGAGAGAGAGACAAAATATTAAATCAAATGAAGCCTAAATTCACACACACAAAAATCTCAATGATGAAATCCTGATGATGACTATTTGATTACTTAAATTACTATCAATTGATATTCTTGTTTATATCAAGAAGAAAAAAAAAGAAATACCTAAAGGAACACAAAGTGAATCTAAACTCTGTACATTTCCGGTGAAAAAATGATCATTCCTATTCAATAATTGTTACCATCTCTCAACAATCCCACCACACTCACAATGTGACCTCAAAATACATACACACACATATATATATACTCGCCAAGCGGATGAATTTTGTCCTTTTGATGATCGATCGGCTTCTGATCAATTTATAAGGAAAACGCGACCAATGTTTTTCACTCAAATGGACACTTTTTTTTTACCCCAAAGGCGGAAACAATTAACTCGTCGTAATTTGATCATAGTGTAAATCAAAGAGTCTAACCTCATTTATATATATATTTTTTTCACAGTTAAAACAACAAAACCAAAAAAATTTGAATCGCTAAAAGGAAATTGATTTAAATTCAATTGTTCAAATCTACACCAAGTTACAAGGAACTAAATTATTATATAACTATTATAATTATTATCTTATTACCATTGATATTATTATTATCATGTTTACTTATGATCGCAATTACAGTTAAATTAACCAAATTATTATTACCAAGGATTAAAACAAGAAAAGTTAATCGGGATAACCAAATTGTTGGAAAATTGATTATAACAACTCTCGGAATTGATCAAAATATTGACCTATTAGAACTTTTCGATACAATTTTTTTCGAATAATTAGAAAATCTAACCTTTTAAGCTAATCATGAACTCGAATAAGATGATCTTCGTTTACGATGATAAAGTTTTCAAAAAGTTCGAAAACTTTTGAATCGAATCCAATTCAAGTTTAAATATGAACTTGATAACCGATGGATCGCTTAAATTCAATGGAAAATTCAACAAGTTGACAATCAGTTAGACGATAATTATATTATTCTTGACAATTAGCTGTTAACTTACGAATAAAGTTGATTCTGGTTGTCTAATTGTCGCTGTCAACTCGATTTAATTGACTGTCACCAATCAAGTATCTTGTTAATCAGTGTTTTATTTTGATGTACATTTGATTTAGCTGATTAACAAGTTAACGATGCTAGAATCATGAATTAATTGAATAATCATGTTTAAAAAAGAGATACAATGTTAATTGGATTACATTGTAATTAAATTGCTTCTCATGGTGATGAATGAATAATCATTTTCTCCCATATTTATAGATGATAATATAACGAGCAAGATGATGATTGTCTCCAAATGATGTTTCAAATTAAATAATGAGAGTTAATTGCTGTCCATGTTTATCATGCTTCCATTATGAAACATTGATAAAGATTCATGGGTGTACATATTAATATTATATTTCTTACTCTGAATACCCTCATTTCCACCAGTGATTATATTTCCCACTTTCCACCCTTTTCATGTCACTCAAATTCAACACAGTTTCACACCTTCGATGTTAAATTGTTAAATTAATCGATTAATTTGTTGCACTGATTGTCCCTCAAACAATTAATAATAATAACAAATGGGAACCAAATCAACTGGCCGATTGCTGATTTTGAATTCAAGTTGAAGTTTGAACTGATTCAATTCAGTTGATTGTCATAATAATTTCAATATTTTCTTAGGTTTTATCGGAAAATAATGTGAAACAATTTATTAACGGTGATATTTACAATTTACAATTATATCTACAATCAGAAAATGAGTTGATTGTTTTCTCTCCATCCATTTTGACAATTAACTTTTGGTTTGTTGACATCTCAATCTGTAGACTCCCATGATAATGTTGATGGTGATGATGACGATAAAATGGATTGTGACACTTTGTATGATTTGATTGTAAACCTGATTGATTTTAAATCAATTGAAATTATCTGTGAATGTTAATAAATTGTAATACCTCTGATGTTTATTTCAATTGAATCGTATTCTTATAAATATATCTTTTCATGATGATGGAAATCAGTTTAGCCCAAAATTGCTGGTAACCATTCAAGTTGAATGAATTGACTGGTGAAATGAAAGTCTAGGAATAACTGAGAGGATAAAAAAGTAGCGAAAGAAAATCAAATATTATGAATGTTTAAATGATAATGAAAAAGGTGGCGGTTGGAAAATCAGCAAGAGGTGATGGAGAAAATGTTAACTCATCCTTACTCATGATGATGATGAAGATGATCGAGAATTCATTGAACCAGATTCTATGAAATATGTCAAACTGCCGTTGAAAACGAAACGATTTTCGGCTCATCGAACGTTTCCTCGGAAAATATCTGGAGTAGAAAAAGAGAATATGACAAAAAAAGAGCAAAATGAGAAATAGATTCTGAACAGAATGGGACATGTTGGAATGGAAGAAATCATGAAGATGATGAAGAGGGAAAAAATTTGAATTCGTAGTAAGAAAAAAAAACTTGAAACATTGAAAGAATCAAATGAGTGAAAAATTTAATAAAATTCTGAGGAAATTATCATGAACCATGAGAATTCATTTTCTTTTTTACCTTTTTCTGTTTCAAGGAGAAAATTATAACAAAAAGAATTTCAATCTCATAATATATTCAATATCTTTTGAAAAGTTCAGTGAGACAATATATTAATCAATTTCGACGAGAAAACAGATAAAGATGAGGAATAAGATGCAGAAAAAAAAGAAGAAGATACAAGAGAAAATCAAACTTCAGGTAGAATCAAATTCTCTTTTCCATTGTATATATGAAGATTGGAAGAAAAAAGAAGAGAATGATGATGATGACGATAATTCTCTTTCTTTATTTCTCTCTCTTGTCAAGCAAAAAGTCATTGAAAGTGAGTCGCATTTTCACCTGAGCGAGTCCAATGCTAATTCAAACCTCTTCTAATCCACTGAGTTTCACTTGGTTTATCTTTTTTTATGTATATTCTCATCCTCGTCTTCCTCATCTTCATCATCTTCGTTATATTAACATTTATTGTACACATTTTGTTAATTCACAAATCACGCCATTCAACGATAACCTGGAAACCTTACCTGAAGATGATTAGTTTTAATCATGGTAACAGAGAGTCAAAAGCAATGTAATCAGTGAATAACATTAGGATGATGGAGAAAAAGAGGAAGAAAGAGATAAAAGATAAAAGAAGAAGATGAAGATGAAGATGAAGATAAAAAATGATGATGAAGAAAAAAAAATCCACTGAAACTTAGTTGGTGTAACGATAATCATGGTAAGTACATGGAGGCAGAAAAAAATAGATTCATGATAAGCACGAAATGATAATTTTTTTCCCGCTATTCTTGTCCTCCCTTAAGGATTTTTCTCTGAGTATTCTGAACAATCTGAGTAATCACCATGAATTCCTGAATGCATTATTATATGAGTATATCTATTTCAATGTCTTTCCATTTGTTGCTGCAAGTCATTCAAATTATCACATGAATCTAAGGAAAGATATTTTTTTTTCCTTCTTGGTTATTAGTTGAAAGTCAACCAGAAAATGTAACATATCATGAAAACTATTTTTCCACCAGAAAATTAAATTATCTCACATGATAATCATGTGAGAAAATGAAAGTGAAATACTTGATCAATGAGCTGAAAATTAATCATGATGGAATCTGAGATTTCCGTTTGGTTGTAAAATTAGTAAATGCTTTTGAAACCAAGTCAACTATTGATTTATCCCGAATCGATACTCATCTTCAGGATAAGTATTATCATGGAATTGAGTATTTTAACTGAATCACATTGGAAACAATTAGTTAGATATATATATAGAGAGAGAAATGGTTACCATGTAAGAGAGGATTTGTTATCAAATATAATTCATCATAATTCAGTTGAAAGTTATCATTAATATCTCATGTTAGCCTCATGATATTCAGCATCATTTCCGCATAATTGATAACTTGAACGTCCATCGTGATAGGTAAATGATTAACTATGAATTCATCATGATATTTAAGAAAAAAATCCAAATAAATGCTGAATCTTTGCAATAGAAAATAAGAAAATGTCAAAATTTCATCAATCTACTGATTCTCAGTTTATAATATCTCATGATTCAAAAATCTAATTCAAATTTCCAGTTACTCATGTACAATGAAAACATAATCATTAGTGTTGATGATGATCATGATCATGTATCTGATTTTGATCTTATGTTGCAAGATTAACAGGATATGCAAAAATGAAATTGATAACCCATATTGTATAATAATATATTGAATCTCGGGAATTCAGGGTAACTCAGAATCTTGAAGTGAATCATTAATTTAATTTTGAAATGGATCAGGCAAATGGATCAAGAGTTAGTAACAACATTGTAAAAGTTACATTGATAATATAATAAGTGAACGAAAATTACATTAAAATATCATTATTTTTCATCATCATCATTATCAACCATTGGAATTCACTCATTCCATGATATTTATGTATAAATCTGAGTATCCTGTAAGTTCTGGATCGAGTAACTTGAAGATGACATTGCAAATTCATGATAAATGATGAATCAACATAATTGTAACACCAATGAACACATAAGATATATACATTAGATACTTAGGAAAACATTATCATCAGATTTTCATATATTTCAATGATTTAGATAGAAAAAAGTTGAATGTAAAGCGAAAATAATTTTCAGAAAAAAAAACATGATAATCATCATGAAGTTGAATCTATGTGATGGTTACAAAGTTCTGAGATTATGAGTTGTTACAAAATGCTGATAATTTTTAATCTCATTTGAATTCTGGTTCAAGTTAAAATAAAGGGTGAAAATGTTGGAATCAATTATAAATGAGATATAAACTGATTTCATAATGAAACGATTCAGATTCAATCTGGAATCTCTTTAATCTCAATTCTCTCATACAAGTTATCATGTTGAGAACAAGATTCCACCCATCAATCCAAGAAAATGAATGAACAATTTATATATATAAATCATAATCATCATCATTCAATTTGTGAAACTTTTTCCATGAAGAATCAACTTTTATATCTCTTTTTAGGTTCATGATAAAAGTTCAACAGATAATGATGTAAGGTAGAAAATAATAGAAGTAAATTGAAAGAAGGAAAAAAAAGTTCCGTGTTCTCTGGTTATCTAATGAATTTCAATTGTTATCAACATGGTGAACATGATATATATATACTGTAGATATCATGAAATGAATGCCTTAAGGTTTTTCTTTATTTTTTCTTCTTTATCATGAAAGAATCAGAAATGTTTCAAGATTCAGGATAAAGATACTTAGAGGTAAACTTAGTAATCCTCATGTACTGTTATCATCTAATGAGAAATATCATATTAGCAAAATTGTTCAGCTCTTTTTTTCCCTCCTATTCTTTAGTTCAATATATATACATTTCAACGATAAAAATGTCATCATGAATTCTGAATTTTGCTATGAGAGCAAAAAAAGCTCTTGGGTTCAGGATTCAGATCGCTAGGAAATTATTGTAAGTCAAAGGTAAAACTATTACTTGTAATTCCTGAATTTGAGATAATTTTTGTCTCTCAATTTTCCCGATCAACTTTAGCATTTCTTTGATGAGAGAGAGAGAGAGAGAGAGAGAGAAAGAAAATAAGAGAATTGCCCTCAGGGCACTCAGAACTTTTATCTGCTCATATCAACCGAAAGACAATATCACATTTTAACTAACAATGTTTTCTTGTGTTTATTTAATCTGTATTTGTATTCACTTTATCTCTGTGCCAATTTCTGGATTTATACACATTGATATATTTGATTAAATTCATGGAAAAATTTGGAAAAGATTTCATGATTCTTGAGAAGGAGATAAAACACAACAGAAAAATAGTCACTTTCTATTACATGAATTACTTACTGATAGTTCAGGTGATCTTGTAATCGGTGAGGTGGAAAGTATCATTTGTGATTGAGATCTTAAATTATTGTTGACATTATTTAGATTGTTGTTTATATTGTTGTTGGAATTGATGTTGTTATTGTTGTTATTGTTATTATTGGTTATCAATCGGACATGAGGTACGTTGTAAGCGCCATTGAGCACATTGGGATCAACTTTTATCGAGGCAACACCACGAATCAAAGTTCCTGATAAAGGTGGACTTATTGGGCATCCATCGAGTAGTCGGTTATTTACACTTAGATTTGAGCAATTTCCAGAATTTCCTGAGTGTGAAATAAAAGAAAGAAAGAGAAATATGAAACAATTTATGAGAATAGAAAAAAGTTGTTCAAAAATTTTTTATTCCAATTCATTTTTCTTAACTTTTCAATTTCAATGAAAAAGAAACATTTCTTCATGAAAAACTGTCAATTGTATCAAAATTTATCAACAAAAGATTTATATTGTTATTGTATTTATTGGTTATATGTCTCAACGCTTATCATCATGACGATTATGATGATAGATGTGTATTAATATACAACTTAGACAGATATAAGAAGATTTGAATCAAGAGCAAAATGAAGGCCAAAAAAGTTCCGCTCAGTTGAAAAGTTAGTTTATCTTCATCATTATAACTATTTTTCAACATGATTACTAATCAACAAGGTGATTATCAAAAGATGATGAAATAAGTGGTATTGTTAAGTGAGAAGTTGAAACGATTACTAAGATAAGTTAATAAGAGGCTTGTAAAAAGTCACGAATTGGAAAAGTGATGAGGATAAACTCAGGAAACTGATGGAAGATAAAAATCCTAAACATGATAAGAGAGAGAGAGAGAGAGAGAGAAACCAGAAATTTCGAGATAAATTGTTATAAGAATAGGTTTTCGATTCCACCATGAATGCTTTTAATTATTACCATGAATTGCTAGAAGTTATCATTATTAAATTGAACTCAACGATTGGGAGTTTTCATCATCATCATGTTCAATTAATCACATGAAAATAATGGATATCATTTCAAACTTACCACTAGTGTATAAAGAATTGAAACAAATTCAATAATAATCGATAACTTCATGAGAGAGAAGATGGAAAAGAGAACTAAAATTTTGACATTTTTGCTTTTCCTAATTCAAGTTCACGAGTTGAAAGATTAACTCACAGTACGTGAAGATAATCAATATACAAGAAAAAGAATTTAATATAATATTATTCCACCGGAATCAACGAATATTCAGAAATAAAATCTACATGAAATTTTTTTTACATGAAAATCATGTTTGTGGATAACGATTTAATATAATTTACACCAAGAAATTTGGGGACATGTTGAAATTTGTCAAAAATATGAATCAAAACTTTCTGATTCACAATCTAATGGTAAATTAATTCTGTGGTGTGTAAGAAAGTTCATTGAACAATTTACTCAATTTCCGTTCAACTGGAATTGAATTATTGGATGTTAACCAAGAAAAAAAAAGTTGAAGCAAAAAAAAAATGAAGGGAGCCATTAGATTGATGTTATTAGGGGGGTAAACTATCAACAAGATGATAAAGTAACATCATAATGATGATGATGTTCAACAATAACATCAACCTCTAATCGTTGTGGGTAACAAAAAGTAGCCTCATAAATAAACATTGATTTGGTGCGAGAATCGAAACAGGCTCAGTGATAGTCTAAACTACCGTTTAAGGGCGGGGGTGGATTTACCTTAGCATTTGATCACCAAAGAGCAAGATTGTGTCTTCATCAACAAGATTTGGGGTCAATTGTTATGAGATGTTGATGAAAAGAAGAAGAAAAGAAAAGGCAATCATAATGACAAGCGGGAAAAAACTTTCTTACGAAAGTTTTTTTAAGGTTGTTTGCCAGACCCGTGGTTTGTTGAAATGGGAATCGTTTTTTAATAAAAAAATTCAAAACTAAATTTCTTCTTTCTCACTACTCTCTTTTTCTCTTTCTTTCTCTCTCTCGTCCCATTCTCTCTCATCTCTTCCTTTTTCTTTCTCCTCTCTTTTTCTTCTTTCTCTTTCTTTCTCTTTCTTTCTCGTCTCTTTCTCTTTTCTTTCTTTTTCATCTCTTTTTCTCTTTCTTTCTCCTCTCTTTTTCTTCTTTCTTTTTCATCTCTTTCTCTTTCTCTCTTTCTCTTTCTTTCTCCTCTCTTTTTCTTTCTCTTTCTTTTTCATCTCTTTCTCTTTTTCTCTTTCTTTCTCTTTCTTTTTGAAATACGCGCTGTAAAAAAGCTTAACTGCGCATGCGTACAGCAAAATCTTCGAGTCAGAATTTCTCATGAACGGCTACTCAGATTTTGTTCGTACTATTTTTCCGTTTTGTAGGATTTTCGGCTGAATTTTTTGATACCTTAACCTTTCATAGAATCCTTGTAGCTTGAGCGTAATCTTTACCCAAAATTTCGACAAATCTTATTCAAGAATGTAGATCAACACTATCACCTTAATTTTCCACCTTAACCTTTATCCTAATCTCTCATCATTCATTTACTACTTAATGTAGATTTAGTTGATTATCATTATTGATTGATCATATTTTCCATTTAATCTCTTATATCAGCATAAAGAAATGACCGTATGGTAAGTGGACAGTTGAACGAGAAAAAATAAGAAACCACAAAGGGTCAAACTACAAAAGGAGGTTAAGATGACCACAGAATCGTTTGTCCACCTCTCCCTCTCTCTGTTCATATCTTCAATATCGAAGAGAGGAAAGAGAAACAAAAAGCATCATCATCACCCATGACATTCTACTGAGTAAAAAAAAAGAGATTAAGATGAAATGAAAAGAAACATTTCTCTTCATTTAATTCACTTTCTTTTCTTAATCTTTATCTTTATCTCTCTCTTTCAATCTTCATCCTCATCCTTATCTTCCCACCTTCATTCAATCCGAGTCCTTAGTCATCCACATCAAGAACCTCTTTGTGTATGATTACTATGATAAAAGATATCGTATATTCAATAATCCCTTTGAAAGTATCAATCATTGTCAGACTATTGTTACTTATACTAAATACAAATAATCATCTGAATTATTATATGGTCATCATCATCATCATTATCATCATCTTTTCATGATAAAATGTACTAATATATAAAAAGGTTAAGGTAAATAAGCATCAGTATCCATTGAGAGAGAGAGATAAATATATTTTTCTGTTGTTAATATTGTGGTTTAATCAGCATCTCAATAAACCAATATAACCCATTGAATATAAATAACGTTAACAGTTACATGATGATTTTCATTGAGATATATAAGTTATCAACCTTAATTCGTAATACATGGATTCCTATTCATAATTAATTGACCTACATTTAGACAAATTTAATTACAATTTAATTATTATATAGATTCAGAGGAAACGATATTTGTATGAGTTCAAAGAGGAAAATATAAAATTCTGATAACACTTCCAGAATCATGAATTATCATCATGGTCTTCAATTGGTATCACCTTTTATCTCAATATCTATTTGGAAGTAGTTTTTTCCTCCTTCTTCAACTGGAATATAATCATGGTCCATAATACTCATGATAAGCGAAGATATTAAGTCAAAAATGTTACAGATATCAGATGAATACCATGAGAAACACAGGGAATTGTCATGATAATAATAATAATCATCATCTTCTCTGTTCAATGGACCTTCGAATGAAACAATTGAACCTGTCATCTTGATAAAGAGAAATGAGTGTATGAGGTTCAAAAGGACAAGATGAGAAAGAGAGTAAAAAATAGTGTGAGAGAGAAATATTGTCATCTGAATTTCTCTTTTCCTTTTTTTCAGAACTTTTAGAATCATCATCAGGCTAATAAAACTTTCTACTCTTTCTTTGGTCAGTTTCTTTTTTTTCCTTTGCTCAACTTTTTCGTTACAAGAACAGATAAAATTTGAATGACCATGAACACACATTACATGAGAAGAAGAAAAAAATTCCGATTTAAGATTCAACTGAAAATGAATAGTTGCAAGTTCATGGATCATGTTACATGGAAGTGAAATGATTATAACTATTATAATAATACTATTTTTAGAAAAACAGAAAAACATTGGCAATAAATGAACTTTTTTTCTTTCTCAAAAGTTCAGAGTATCAACTGAGTTCAGGTTGATTCCAACATGATTATATTACTCTGGCAATTGCTTGGAATTCATAACATTTCAATTGTTATTTTTTTCTTTTGTTTCTTCATCATTATTATCGATATAAAAGATTATCATGTTTAACGATTATTAGTTTTAATTGTTGCAAGCAACAAAATTTTCATGATAATTTAATCATCATCATGGTTATGAATCATTTCCTTGTGTTGAACAGATTAAACAATTGTTTCCATTGTTGATTCTTAATCATCATAATTTTCATGTTAATTAACTTATGTAATGATAATATCAGTTCACAAGCTTGAATATTATAAAATATAATAATAATAATCGTCGTTGATTATATCAAACTGAATAATCTTATGATATTTTCATCATGTCAGAACTTTTCTCTCTCTCTCTCTCTCTTTGCTATTCTCCTACCTTTAGATATTTATTTATATTCAGAAATTAATATTATCATGTTGATTCCACATGAGGTTAGAACTTAAATTATTCAACTCTATCTCTTTCTTACTGATTCTGATTCTGAATCATGATGAAAGTGTTTAATTTTTTACATGATAAGTATTATAATGGGAATGATTATGTCAAGTTAATTTGGAGCCTAGTTTTTTGCTGTAGATATAAATTCAGATAATCATTGAATACTTGTCATGGTTATCATGATAATCAAGTGTAACTTGACGATAATCATGTTAAATTGTTACAACAATTACTAATAATAGACAAGTAATTGTGTAATAATGAAAAATGATTGTCAAATGTTTAGATATTTGATTAACACCAACAGTTAGGAGAGAATCAAATTAATAACAATTAACTCGGAAAGAGAGAAAAAAATTTTCTCTTCTAATTCTTAATTGTTACACTCTAATGATTAAGATTATTTCATGTTAATTAATTATACATATTATCGTCATTGTTTTTTGTAAGAAAATGAAAGAGAGAGAGAGAGAGAGAGAGAGAGAGAGAATAAGAAAAAAGAGAAACAAAAAAGGAAACGGAAGTAAGATCAGAGTAGAGATTCTAAAATAGGAATCGGAAACGGAAATGCAGAGTAAAAAATTACATTGGAAAAGAAGAAGAAAAATCACAAATCGTAATACTATTTATCACATTGTTTTCTACAAATTTCCATCCCATTCTCATGATAAATGAATTTCACTCTTTGGCTCATGGTAAACATAAATGAGAATTTCAGAATATCAAAGAAAATCCGTTGAATTGTTTCAAATCTGATAATCTTCTCGAAGATAACAATCCGATAAATGAATAGAATGACAGTTAAAATGATAATATTATTATCATGTTAAGGAAATAATCGGTTGGGTAATAAGGACAATGATTGATGTTTGGAAATGTTGAAATTCATGAGGAAATTCAATCTCCATGCCAACAGAAATGTGAGATATTCATAATGCAATTATGGTGATATTTAACGTGTAAACAATAAGATGATGATAACAATCAAGATTGATCAATGTGAATGCTATACCTTTTCATTATCATTTATTCAAAGTTATTTACAGGGGAAAAAAACAAAAGTTCCGACTCGGAATTCATGATGAGTGATCAAGTTATTTGTGATAATATTTATGTATAAATATATTCAACTAATACATATGAAAGGTTAGCAAAGGTATTTGTCTGTAAATAATGAGTAATATATTTAAGTGTACAAGTTGATACCTTGGGGGTACAAGGTGGTTTAGCATTGTGGTGAGTATTATTCAGAATTATATTATTATTATTAATAGTTACATGGATTCTGTAAGCAAAGAAAACCCCAAACTAATGTCTACTTAGAATTGAATAAACTTGTATACATAAATAATTGGCTTATTATCCTGAATTCTGATTGTTACACGATGATTATTATTATCTTATTATTACCAAATAATCATCATGAAATCATTAAATGAGAAATAAGCTCAGAATGATTTCAATTTAGTTTAGAAAATGAAAAGCAAAGGAAAAATTGATTCAGTTCAAAGTTCATTTGGAATCTCAATGTCAAGGTGAAAGAAAGTGAATCAAGTTGAATTTCAAACAAGATTCTTGATCTTGAAACAGGGAAAATTTCACCATGATGACTATTCAGTCAAACTAATTGACGATTAGCACAATTTATATAAATTCATGGTATTTAACAATCGAGTGAAAATAATGAGGCCAATGAGGATACGATTACAATTATAACTGTTACATTTTATTAAATTACGAAGTTGGTTAATTGTAATGAATGAAAATCGCTTGTGTGAATAATTGTTAGCACGAAATAATTGATAAAGGTTAATCAAGTTAATCAACAATTAGTTGGTTGTGAGAGTATTTTTTTCTTGCTCATTTCATTTGGCCTCAACTGACCACTTTGTTTGATTTGGTTTTTTATTAATACTACCAAGGGTCAGTGTATATCTTTGCCTTGATTGTAAGTTTATCTTATCTTAATTTGAGTCATAAAATTAAGCTGATGATTAGTTAACTGATTTGAGTTAAATACTCTGACAATCGATGTGGATCATCATGTAATGTACAGTAATGACTAGAATCTGTTCATATGATTACTTTTAATGAATTGTTTCCATTTAGTTGAGAAAAGAGGAGGAAAGAAAAAGATTTTCTTTCATCAGAATTTTCTCAATTTCTTTTACTTCTTCAATCAGAATCTTTTCTTGAGAATCAAATCAGATTAACTACAGGGAAGCAAAAAAAAAAGAGAGAGAGAGAGATAAAAGTGGAAAAAGATGGAGAAGAAAATGTGAAAAGATGAGGATGCTGATTGGAGATGTAAATGAGCTCAGCATTGGACATGATGAGATTTACACTCTATTTGAAATTGTGAATGCAAAAATAACCAGAATGAAACCTTGTTTCAACAAGATGATGGTTTATACAATAATCATTAAGATAATACAATTAATTTCCAATTACTTTGCTAATTGCATTTGCCGTTAATCTAAATCATCATGAATCAGTCATGAATTTTCATCAATTCCTTATCGTCAAGATATAATCTTTCAAATGAAAAGCCTCAGTCTCTGAAAAAGTTCATAGATACATTGAGACTTGTTGGTAATGACAATGAGAGAGGGAGAGAGAGAGAGAGAAACTAAGTAAATAAATGAGCTTTTCTGTTCAAAAGCCTTTTGATTGTTTGTTTTTTTTGCAGGTAATTTGATTTAAGATTAGATTTTGTAACAGTAGATTTACAGTTAATCAAAATAATCAATTTCCTTAAAGGGAAAGTCAATTGTCAACAAATTAAAAAAACAATACAAGCCAATGAATTGAGGTCTAATCATCACTTTGCCAATGTTACTAAGGTGAGAAATGATCATGAAGGAAAAAAATTGAGTAAAAACTTTTATCATGAAAAAAAAACCTTAATTGATGGTGAAATTGAGGTTTACAGAAAAGAGATAATAAAAAAAAGTTCTTTATCTCATTTTCTGAGGCTTAAATTAATGGTAATCATCATTATTATCTAAGATGAGCCTAATCATGATAATGATGGTGAAATTGAACTTTAAAATACAATAGGTAATTTGTATACATAAAACGATAAGGTAGTTAATTGAATGGTGATTCTCTGAGGTGATAATGATAATTGTAGTGGTGGAAAATTGATCCTATCAAAACAATACCAACCCAATTCATGACTAACTGAATTAAGTTCAATTTGCAAGGTTTAAATTCATAATAATATTACTAATGGAACAAGAAAATGGTTTTGGAATTTTATTTGCAAACAATTTATCCGTTTTAGTGGCGATGATGGGAAAGGAAAATGATATACATGAAAACCCACCGGGAAAAGTTCATAAATACCTTGGGGTAGATTGGCCTTTGTTGGTATAACATCGGGATTGGTTGGATTTGAATTTACAAGGATCCATTTTGGTTGGTGAGGTTGTTGGTGCTGTTGATGGTGAGGGTGGGATTGTGGTAGTTGTTGTGGTTGACCAAATGGTTTTCTATCAAAATCGAGAGTGTGTTGACCTGGTTGACCGTAACTGTATTCTGATGTTGGTGTGAGTGTTGTCAATCCATCGGAAATGGTTGAACCTTTTGGGTTATTATGATGATGAAGATTGAGCTGATTTTCTGTTGACGATGATGATGAGATTTCCATGCGATTCTTATTACGAATTGAAATCATTGAGTCTCTTTTACGTATTTTTAGAATAATTAAAATCATTAGAGCAATTAACAGGAGAAGGCAGCTCAATCCAAGAACTAGAATCAAAACTCGAGAGTCAAATATTTCCACAGAACCTTGGGTGTAATCTGAATTTCAAGAATCAAATATGAAAGAGAAAAGAAAAAGAAACAAAATATTCAATAAGATTAACATTATTCTGTTTATAATTCAGGGAGAAAATCTCAATCTTCATTTGTGATTCATTTTGTTGCTTTTTTTTGTTCATTGTGTTCAAAGTCACATCATGTTGTTTTCATGATATAAACACATCAATTCCATGACTGTTTTTTTCTCATCTTAGCTGGAATTCTGTATGTTTCAGAAGAAGAAAAAGTTCATTATTGCCTTTTTTTAGTTTTCTTTCTCTATCATGATGAACGATATATAAATACATACAGAATTTTTTTCCAGCGCAAATGATGAGAAAAAAAAATGGATCCAGATTTCGAGTAAAAGAATAGTGTAAATGTTTAGTAAAGGCAAAAAAGAGATAAAATTCTGAAAGTTAAGAGTTGATTTCGAAACATTTATACACATTGACATTGATCATGTTCATCATTATCTCCAGAGGAACCATGAGATTTCATGGGATTGATAAAATTTTGTTGCTTTTCAATTGTGAAAATGAAACAAGACAGAAAAAAAGTTCTAATATATAATTTGAAACTCCAAAAGTAACAGAAAAGCAGAAAAAGTTTCAATCGAAGGTAAAAAGAAAAGAAAAAACTTATACACAATGTTCAAACTCGAGATTAACTGAGCTCAGACATTGAGGTTCAATCAATTGAAGGGTCACATAATTTTCGATATTTTTTATCTTCGAAAGAAAAAAAAAGATCAATTCGATCTATCAAAAAGCTTCTATCCTCTCTCTCCATGGATGATGATTATTAATATTTTCTAGTCCCTGACAAATAACTTGAGGCTTCATGTTAATGATTAAGATAATATATTGTTTAGTGTTTCCGTTTAGTCTAAATTTCCTTGAAAAACCTGAAACTTTTTCAGAAAATAGAGATAAAGGAAAAGTTCATTATTATCGATTTCAGATAATCAACGAAAAGTTCAGCATATAAACTGAATACTTGATATGATTCGTTATAAATAAACGATATGTACTCATGAAGAAACGAAATGAACAAATTTCTATAAATTCAATCATCTTTTCATTATATTGAGTATTTCAACATGAACATGAGGGAAAATATATACACCTTCGAGTTTCCGTTTTCCGGTAATGAGAAAGAAAATTTTTAAACTATTAGCTGAATTGATAAGTATTTCGTATGGTAAATGATGTTAAATGAATTAGATTTTCTCTTCGCCTTCATTTCCTTTGAAATTGATAATTACTTTGATCGTCACTTTGCTGTATGATGATGATTAGTAAATTGCTCATAACAATCAACAATTCAATATCCGTTCACTAGCTACATGTTGTTCATGATAAATTTTTTTCCAACTATTTGTCATGAAGGAAAGAGTAATAAAACTCAATTCGTGTGATGATAGAGAAAACTTTTCTGTTAAGAATTGAATATATTTTTCTCATAAAGTCTAATCGTTGAATCGTTTCAGCTTCTTGTTGAATTGTTACTAGGAAGGAATAAGAAAAAGGATTGGAGAAAGAGAGAGAGAGAAAAGAGGAGAAGAGCTCGACTCGGAATACTAGGAATTTAAATGACTGCGATAATAAGATAATAGAAAATTACAAAGTTGACACAAAGTTTCTCAGAATTTGCTTCTTATCTTTCTGATATCATGAGTTTATTTCTTTTTTTCGATAGCACTGATAATGGAATGTAAATTGATTTCAAGCTCCAATAAACAAGAGATGAGATGAGAATGCAAGATAAAAAATCTATGAGATTCAATGGAACTCATGAAATAAAAGGACATCACAAATCGTATATCTTTTACTATCCAATCAAATGATCGTATGAACATTTTTCATGTCGAGAGAGAGAGAGAGAGAGAGAGAGATATGCAGAGAACTGATTTAACTGAATGTTACCTTGTTTTCTGTTCATCATGGTCAATGTTCCAGATTTGAGTATTAAAGATGAACTTCGTCCACCAAATTTATTTGAAGAGTATATGTAAAGAGTGTAGGACGTACTTGGTTCAAGGCCACTGACGGCAAAAAGGGGACTAGAATTGGTCATATTATATAAAACCTTATCTCTTTCTGGATTAATCACTTCAAGATGATAAATATCTTTAACATAATTATAACTAACGTTATCTGGGCTTAAGGCATTTTCACTAGAACTTGATAGATTATCAAAGGAATCATCATTATCTTTATCACTATCATTATTGTTGTCATGATTATCATTTGCTGAGCCCAAGTTTCCCGATTTAACTGGTGATGGTGATGAAGATATTGAAACATTAGGCCATGTATTAGTTACTGTTATTCTTGCAGATGGATCATGATTCTGGTTTGATGGTAGATGATAATGATTGTTGTCAGACTGAGAATGATAATTTGGATTCTGATAATGATTATCTTGTAATCCGGCATAAGATGATGGCGATGATGATGATGAACCAGGAATACATTCAACTATAAATGAGCCCCATGTTTGATTAGTAATCCTACATGATTGTAAAGGCACCGAAGGAACATCTAAATTAAAAGAGAGAGAGAGAGAAAGAGTAAATTAATTAATCAATTGATTACAATTCCAAATCGTAAATGAACAGAAAATTCCTGCTTGATAAATGAAACTAGTTGTCAATTCAGTTCCAATCACTTTAATCAGAAAATTCAAACTCAATTGATGATTAGTTAACTATTATCTTATATTTACACAACTTCAATTGACACTCGATGATGTTGACAGATCAAGAGGAAAAATATCAGAATGATAGTCATGAAATTATCATGAAAATGAAAAAAAAACGTTCAAATTTGGATGATATCAAGTAAACAGAAACTTAATCATAATTGTGGGAATAAATTTTCTCGTTGAATAATTGATTAACTGCTATTATGATTAAAATTGCATCATAATATTTGTTTACAAAAAGTAAATTGAGTTACCAAGAATCACTAACCTTGTTTATTATCACGATGATTAACTGGATTATCATTATTGTTATTTTTGATTGTTGACTCAAATTGTTGAGCATTATTATTAGCAGTCTTTACATGTAATTTAATTGGATCACTTTTCCTATGTAAATATGAGGTAAATGCATAAACCAAATAAGATGTTGCTGGTTTTAAATTGGTAATAAAAAATTTTGCCCGCGAATTTGTTAAATTATGAATTAGTTCACTTTTTTCTGAATTATAAACTTGAACATGATAATTTAGCATCTTTATCATCAGATGATGATGAGTATGATTAGAAAAGGCTAACAAAGAGTTGGTATTATTATTGTTGTTGTTAAAGGTTGATGGTGATGAACGTGAGGGTAATAATAACAAAGATGAAGGTGATGATGATGATGATGATGATGGATAACCAGGCAAAGAAGGTGAATTTGATCCAGAGGATTGTGAAGTAACATTCATATTTAATCTGGTTAACTGTTGTACTGAACATTCAATGAGAAATGAATCAACCGTTTGATTGCTTATGACGCACGATTCCAATGGAATGATGGGTTCTAAGACTGGAATCCAAGTACGATAATACATGATGACGATCATGGAGATTATCATGGTAAAAATGAAAGAAAATTTGATAAAGTTAATAAGAAGAAAAAAATAGAAACATATTATTATTACATTATCGTCATCATCACAAGACACACAATCATAATATCATTAATATAAATGTTCAGTGTTAATCATCATGTAAATATCATTATTACTCTGAAAATGATAATGAAAATTAGGTAAATATGATAATTAAAGAGAGAGTGAGATGTGAATTTGTTTCATTCTCATGCCTGTGAATCTTTTTCAATGGTTAACATGATGAAAATTCATCATTTACTTACATTTCTCAATAGAAATTAAATTTACTTTATTTTCCCTCTGATTCTAATAGATGATTAACTAACCATTGCATCTTATTTTCTGTGTAAATATTTACATTGTAATAACTTATTCGTATGAATATATTATTTTCTTCGTGAGAAATTATCATTATTAAGCTGATCTCATTAAGTATATTATATGTAATGATACATGTTACCCAAGAAAGTCAAAGTGTTATAATATTATCAGTGGAATAGGAAAGAAAGGTAAAAGGTTAAAAGGGATTAGGATTGAAATAAAAAGAGGGGATTAAGGTGAGGATTAATCTCTTACCAGGCTCAGTTGGTGTTTGGTTAAAAGGCAGGTCAACTTTTACCACCAAAGGTAAACTTTTACTGACCAAATTTGACGAGTATGCATAAAGTGTATACGAGTTACCAGGTTGAAGGCCACTTACCGTGAAAAAAGGTAAACTATTTGTAAGATTATCGGTTAATCGTTTAGTTTTATCGTTGAAAATTTCGGCATGGAAACGATTAGTTGATCTATTAACAAGTGGAACATGTTGACTGTTGATACTTTTAAGATTCTGATTATCACTAACTGTCAATTCATGATTATGGTCATGAAAATGATGCTGATCACCAAAAGAAGATGATGATGATGATGATGAATTTGAATCATCTTTCAATTCTTGTTCACCTTTAACTGAACAGGTAACATTAAATGAAGACAAGGTGACATTGACAATCTCACATGATTCCAATGGTAAAACCGGATCTGTTTAAATTTAAATGGGAAAACAATTTGTTATCAAAGTTAATTGTGATTAATTGTAGACAATTGTTAATCACAAAGATCATCATCATCATTATCATTATCAATCAAAAAGATAATCACAATCACATTTAAAGGTTAATTTGTTTTCTCAGATTTGATTTTTGCTTCCATTAAGTGCAAACACATTAGGTGCTAGTTAACTAATTGTTATTATTACTTAATTATAACCTGAGACTTTACCATGATTAGTTTTCTCCCTTGAATATACTTGGGTGATTTCATGGAGATAATAATAATGATTAACTCAACAATTTAGCGAGAATCGAGAACATCGAAGGCAAGAAAAAAAAGTTCGAGAAAAAGTTTTAATTTTTTTTGCTTCGATTCTTGATCTTAATTATCTTTGATTAAACTTTTCACTTCGCAATGAGATAGTCAATTGATTAACAATTAATTCTAATCAATGTTTGCTAAAAAAAGGGGGATTTTAATGACTGAACAACAATCATCATTAAGGTTAATTCAGTAATTAAGAAGTTCAATTACCGTTATCTTTGATTATATAATTACAATTTAATTTCTTTAATCTTTTCCTAATCTTAAGATTTAAAAAATATCATAACTAATTATCACATAGTCACAATTAAAAGTTTACATTAATAAATTGTTAGATAATTGTAATTGATAATAATTAACAAAAACTTTCGTTAACGTAAACTAGGAAACAATTAATGAAACGTATTAAATTAATGGTCAACAATTAGTAAATTAAACGTTTGAAAAGTTTATACGATTATGTTAAATCTACTCTTTTAAATAATCCAGTTAATGGTAACAATTTACTAAATCATCTTAGTTAATTATCGCAATTTAATTAAACGATTAACTCTAATAAAGTTCAGTCTATGATCATAAAAATAATGGTAAGTGAAAATTGGATTAATCTGTTAAACTTTAATCCATTGAATAGATTAAAATCTTAATGGAATTTTTTCTCGAACAAAAAATTATCCAAATCAACTCATTCATTAATTAGTAACTCATAAAACCGTAAAATCCTGAAACTTATTCATAAACATGATAAATTGTTATTGTAATCGATTTGATAATGTCAACGTGTTGAGTTGATTATTATGTAACAAATTAATTGGATTGATTGATTTACCTGATTTTTTAATTAACAAGGTTCGGGTTCGGATGATTGTTGGTGAACTTGTTGCAAATTGATTAGCTGTGTATACATATATCAGGTAAGATTTACCTGGTTCAAGGCCATTAACTGTAAACCTGGAAACTTGATTAGTTAAATTGTAGATAAGTTTATCCTTTTCTGGTGTATAAACTTCAAGGTGATAATTAAGTTTATTATTATGTGATGAAGATGAAGATGATTGAGTTGATCTATCATTTGTTAAAGGCAACGATTCATCAGAATTACCTGACGATGATGATGATGATAAACTATAATTACTATTATTATTGTTGAAATGATAATCTTTATCAGAGTTAATTGTTGTACGATGAAAGTAACAATCAATTTGAAATGATTGTGTTGTCTGATTGCTTATGCTACATGAATCTAATATTGGTGCTGGTTCTGTAAGGATATAAACAAAAAGGAGATTGAAAAGATTAGTTGGTTATTTGATATTTTCCCAAATATAACTGAAAGTTCATTAAAGTAAACCATTTAATACACATGGAGAAAGGTTGAATTCAAGATGGACACTCGGTTAACAACTATACTGAAGTGGTTCAGCTCATTCATGAACTTTATTGTAAGAGAATTGACTTTTACTTTTATAGCTTTTTGAATGGAAAGTTCTGAGTGACTTTTTGACTTATTCATATTGAAATAACTCCAAAGTTCATGCAAGTTTTTCAATAGTATCATGATAATGTCAAGCACTTTTCATCAGCTGATTCATTTTGATCTTTGCTTATCCATTAACAAGATGGAAAATATTTCAACGCCAAACTTTGAGCTCGATTTTGAACCAGAAAATTTGAAAATCACCAAGAATCATGAAATATGAACAACTGATTACATGATGATGATGATTTTAGAATCATTTTCTTTATTTCTTTTCCTTGATTACAGTCAGATTTTGATTTCATTTTGCTTTTTCCATCATCATTATCATTTTGTTAGCTCTTTTTTATATTCTCTCCTTGAATTCAGGATGATAATCATCATTATCATCATCAGCTTCATGATCAGAACTTTATCTAAGGGAATCTAATAAAGCTAAGTTACAAACAATGAACAAGAAAAAAAACTATGATGTATAAAGTCAATTGGTTGTTGCTAATATTATTAACACTGGAAAGTGCTAGATGATTATCATCATCATCATGAGTTACTCATGAAGTTCAGGGTGTGAAAAAAAGGGAAATCGTTTGCTCATAGAGACTAAGGAACAAAAAAGAACCGAGAAATTCAATTCAGTGATGAAAATTTTTTATTCTGGTGAAATTCTGATACAATTTCCACTATAAGGTGAGTAATGATAATGATGAGTATTTATTGAGTATTTTTCAGGGTTTCCTGTTGATCTTTTAGCTCCCTTTCTCTTACTGATTTTTATCCAATTTTATCAATAAAATATCAGAATAACTTTTCTCTCTCTCTCTCTCTTTTCTTCATTGTTCCAGCATAATATCATTCAACGAACCTTTTTAACGGCTCGATTACAGGATTATCATCACGTAATTTCAATCCTCGAACTTGGTAACAGACCTTTACAATTACCCAATCAACAGTGTTGACTCAAACTTGATTCAAAAAAATAGAAAAAAGTTGACGATTGAATCAACGTTGAATCAATGATTTTTGACGCGATTTTATTCAATTTTGATGAGAATTTGAATCAAAATTGAAAGTTTTTGATTCAAATTTGAGAGAGCAGTTTGAATCAAATTTGAGACTTTACTGACTCTTTTTGAAGCCGAATTGATTCATATTTAAGTAATTTGAAAAAAATCATAAGATCAATTAAATGAAAATCCGATTCATGAATTTTCTCGCGATAAGAATTAGAATCTAGTAAGCAATATCAAATTCTAAATATTTTAATTTTAACGTTCAAGTGTAAAGAAAATAATAATTTTATATTCAGTCATCCCATTGCTTATTTAATTGAAAAGATTCGTCTCCAATATCACTGTTGGCATCGTGAAATTCGCCTGAGTCACCATCAGAATTTCCATTCATTGAATTGTCGTCATCATCTTGATCAGTTTTTTCTTTTCCAGTGAACTTATTCTTTTTCCCTTCATTTTTTCTGCTCATTTCTTTGATCATTCTTTCACGGACATCATATTCTTGTCTTTCAGTGTACTCAAATATTTCAGATTTTCTGAAGATATGATCTAGTAGAAAAAGATAGATTAATTTCATTGAAAAGAATCGAATCTATTCTCACCTATTAGTGATTTGATTCTTTTTCTACCCAAATGAAACTCAAATGATCCTCTGAAAGGCTCACTGAAAGGATCTTTAAAACTCCAGGCATAAACCAAAGGTACTTTTTCATCACGAAAGTTATCACGAAACTTTGCAAGCTCATTTTCAGTTAGGAATTTTTTCCCAATTGTTACATTTTTTATGTAACTTTCAGGAAAAGCTGTTTTCACTAGCTGGTAGCCCAAAGATGAAGGATTATTGGGCTTTGATTTACATAAAGCGCTTTCATATTTATCTAATTCTAATTGAATTTTACCCTCCAAAAAGATCCAATTCTGAATAAAGGAAAAACAAGAGAAAAAAACTCAGTAAAGATTTTGGAAAAGTATTTTCTTTACCTTTTTTCGTATTTTATATGTATCATCTTTCACAGGAACTTTATGCACGATTGTATTTGGCTCTTGCTCCACTTTCATTAACTTTTGATATATTTCTTGGATTATTTCCACTGTGGTTTTTATCGTCGATCCAAGAATATCATTATCAGAAAGCCTTGATGTAGATGAAGCAAGAGCATTCAATTTTTTATCTAAATCTTGTACAATCTGGTCATTTGATTTAGTTCTTTTACTTTTCATATTCTCGTCTCTTTGAACATTTTCATCGACATTACTACAGGGATCATTTTCGATGTCCGTCTCACATTCATCTGAGTCCATCAACAATCCTTTAGGCTTGGAGGGTTTCAAAATCGATGGACTCTTTTCGGTGACTTGGGGAAAAATATTCTTTTCACCTTCAGTTCTTGTTTTTTTGATTTGAATTTGTTTTTCAGCACTCAAATTAACATCACGCTTGAACTCGCTCATAATATTTGCAATTATCTTTGGACCAAGAACATGTTGAACTGGAGCATCTTCTTCCTCGGTGAGTGGAGCATATTGAAGTTTAACTTTTAAATTCCAATTAGAAAAGATCTTTTTCAAATTCTTCCACATCGGATTTTGTCTTACGTTGTTTTGAAAGCATTTAAGAAGATCAGATTTGTTATCTAGAGGAAGAAAATCAGTTAGATGAAATTCAAAAGAAGATCTGATTCAACTCACCAGCAATCGCAAATATCTGTATGGTTAGTTTTTGCTCACAGATGTTGAAAATGAAATAATTCTTTTTCTCATCGAAAAAAGCTTTGAATGGAAAATCGAATCCAAACTCAGAAAGCTGATTTTCATCAATCTGAAAAGAAAATGGTTGCTTTAAGGGAACACAATCTCTGTCTAAAATCAGAGGAAGCACAATTACAAGTTTATATTTTGATTTAGATAATTTTTCATTATCTGATGAACTTTTTCTTTTACTTGATGTTTTATCTGGATCACCGAAAAGAAACTTTTCTTTATCACTGAATGGAGATACTTTGGATGAATTATTTGACTCGCCTCTAGATAAATTCATCATTGGCTGAGTAAAGCATCTACGAATCTTTTCAGGATTCACGGCTTTATAAACACGTTGTGAACTCATTCTGAATGATTAACACAGTTAATAGACTTGCAATTATGATCAAAATGAATGAAAGTAGCAAAGAAGAATTGTTTTTATAAATCACAAAAGGAAACGGATATTGATCAAAATCGTTTATTTTGATTCGAGATTAAACATGGGAAAGAAATCAATCAAAGATGCTTTTCCCTAAAAGCTACAAAAAGCATTTCTGTAAAAGATCTATTTCACAAGATCTGTGCACAAAAAATTGGGTAAAAGCAAATTAAAATGATCGAGTTTCTTTAGACAAAATTGTAAATGTAAATTGATTAATCGAAAAAATTTTAGAAAATTGAAAAAGAAAATAATTGTACTTTTGATACAATTCGATTGTTATTTGTGATTTACTTTTCTTTCGATTTTGATTAAAATCGAGAGTTTAAGTAATTCAATATTGAAAAATTTGTACTGAATAATAGGAAAATATTTGAAAGTTACTCAACATTTCAATTGTTGGCCAATCGGTTGAAGAATTTACTCAAAACACCCTTTGATTTGAGTTTGGCCAAAATTACACGATCTTCTTCCGTAATATCATCGCAATCAATTGATTCATCTGAAATACTTTCAGGAATAGCTTGAGTAAGCGGAATAGCATCACCGACATCAGATCTTTGTTTTTTTGTCACATTATCACAATTTTTGGTTCTTTTTCCTCCGATTTGAGATGAATCACCATCCGATTCATCATGAATAGGATCGTTAACCGTATTCTCTTCAGCTGTTGGTATATTTGTATTTTCTTCGAGACTCCTATCTTCAGGTGAGATTGAATGATTTCCAGAATCATTTATTGACACATCCGATGTTTGAAGTGAATCAGATTCAGCTGGAGAATTTTTCTCAGAATCAGATACAATATTTGAAACTTTGCCATCTGAGCCTGGATTTAAGCTGGGCAAAATCGGTTCAACATTAATTTCAGGCTCTTCACTCTCTCTTGAATTTCCCATATCAACTTCAATTATTTCTGCTGATCTTGATCCATTTTTCTCACTAACATCTGTTTGATTTTCGTTCTCACAGCCTGAGGTAGATTCATCTTCATTTTCTGATTCGAAAAGATTTATTGGAGGGTTAGGATCTGCATGTAGAGGAATAATTTTTTGTTTACCTTGATGGTCAGGTAGTTTTTCAATGCAAGTTGAAAGTGTTCCTTTGGAATGATTCGTTTCTGTTGACTTTACTTCTGGCACTTTTTCCTGAACTGATTCTTTTTCACGAGGTGAATTTCCCTGTTTTTGAGAGCGTGAAGACCTTCTGGTTACTACTCTCAGCGCTTGATCGGATCGATTTATCACTTTGGAACCTTCTTTCTTTCGAATATTCAAATGATAAATTTCTGAATCAATATCCGAATCAGGATCAGAAATATCATCAAGATTGATAGCTGAGCTGAGAAAGTTAGGCTTTGGTCTACACGAATGCATCGCTTTAGCGAGACAGCCAACAAGAAACTTTTCTGTTGCTTTGTCATATTTTTTGAATTTTCCTTTTCGTACCACATGATCTGTACAACAATTTGGAAAATAGAATTAGAAAAAATTCACTAGAAGTCAATTCTTTTTCTTACCAATTAAAGCTCGTAGTCTTTTCTCTCCTAAGCCATTTTTGAATTGACCTTCGCCCGGATTAGCCAATGGATTTTGATGATTCCAAATAGAAATGAGAGATTTTCTTCCACCAGCGCCTTTAACTGTAACTCCAACTAGCCAATGCTTAGGAAAAGCGAATCGAATAATATTCGTAATGATTGCAGCTGGTTGATATTCTGATTTTGATTTTGCCGAGATCGCAGCTTTGTATTTGTTAGTATACACTGGTAGAATACCTTCAATCATTGTTGTTTGACCACTCGAATAAGTTTTATCTTCTTCAGGAATATATCGAACCTCACCAGGATTCTTTTCAACTTGAATAATGTTTTTTTCCTGTTGATCTTTCATTTCTTTTGAATAAAAAACTGATTCAAAAGTATCAATGACTTTGTCAATAATCAGTTTTATATCTTGAGGTGATTCCACCTCACTAGAATTGAGACTTTTCAACTTTTGTAAATTGTCCATAAAATCGTTCTCTTTCAGTTGATCAGGTATGAGTGAATGAGACAAATCTGAATTTGATTCATCGAAATAATCATCATCGTCATCGTCAGCAAAAAGATCATCTTGAATCAGATCAGATTGAGCACTTGTGGATGGTTGAGGATCTTGATATATTCTTGATTGATTTTTCACTTGACTATTCAGCGTTTCAATCCTTTTTTTGACTTCAGTAAGATCTTCTTCACTTGTTATGGGTAATCTTTGAGATTCGAATTTTGAAATAGAAATATTATCGACAATTAACCAATTCGAGATTTTTTTCTCAGCGGATGATGGATTAGATTTCAACTCTTTATTTATAAAAGTCTGATAAATTTCAGATAGTTGAACTGAGTCATCTAGAATTGAAAGAAAAAGATAATTATTACCATGAATTGAGGAAAAAATCTTTAATAAACTTACCACCGACTGATACGATCATTGCGGCTAAGGGCTTACAACCATCAATCTCAATATAAATGAGATTATCTCGATGAATTTCAAGAAGACGAAGATCTTTGGGAATTTGTTCAGAAGACACTTTGAACAAAACTGGTAATTTGATCTTAGAACCATCATTTGTTTTGTACCGTAGAACGGCAACCACTAGCTTTTGATTCTCCATGAGACTCATGTAACTTCCAACTAATGTGGTTTGATTATGAATCAAATTACTCTGAGATTGTCTTGAACTTTTTTGAAATTTAACTGTTGATTTTCGGCGTTTTGATCTTTCTTCCATCAAAAGAATACACGAAATTGTTCACATTCGGTAAAATAAAACAATTAACAAGAAAAAAATATTCAAAAAATAAAAGAAACAATTGTTTTTGAGTAAAAACAAAAATGTAAAAATGAAATGAGTTTGAATTAATGCGGAAACACTTGTTACCAAGGAGATAAGAGAATAGAATAAATTTTTAAAAAGAACAAGCTAATTGGTCGAAAAAGAATTTTTTGATTATCACCATGGCAACGTGACGAATCAATTTCTTAGTAACCAACATAAGATAAGAGTTTTATCTCCACATGTTTTACTCTGGTGATTTACTTCAAATCATTTAATTAAAATAAATTAACCTTTTATTTAAATTGTTGTGGTGAAATTTTTGATTAATTTGTATTTTGTTAGTGATGATTAGTGGAAATTTATCTCTTCAACATCTTTATCGGCGGAAACGTCGTTATCATCATTTAAATCAACAAAATTACATTGATAATTTACCTGATAATGATTCTTCATTAGAATCATCACATTCATCACAAATTACTTCATCTTTTGTTTCAAATGACATTGAGAGTGACCCTTCAACCAACGGAAGTGAAATAGAAGATAGTGAAAATTATCTTATTCCAAGATCAAAAGAGTATTTTGAAGCTGTGTTTGTTACCATTTTGAGTCACGCTGGTTTAAATTTACATGCTGCTGAAATAGTTATCAATCTTTTCAACACAACTAATAATCGTTTCTCATCTGAACCAGTTACTTTTCCAAGTATAAGACACTTTTGGGATCGTCAAGCTAAAGAAAATATCATTCATGTTTACGTTTTGTGCCCTAGAAAACATTCTCATGGACCATTTTCAGGGTTATCGAAAGACCAGGAATATTTCGACTGTGAAGGGGATCAATTTCGCGTAAACATGAATAAAGATGATTATTTCATTCATCTCCCTCTCCGTGTTCAGCTTGAAAAGTTTCTACCATCTATACCTTGTACCGCATGGCAAGAAAGTAAAATAGATCCATATGAACCAGATGATGTATCAAATGCTGATCTCGCGAGAAGAATCAAATCATCTGAAAGTTCCTGCGAAAAATTGACCATGACCTTACACTCAGATGAAGTGGGTTGTTCTGGTAGTTCAAGCATAAAAATTCTGCCAATTTTTATTTCAATTAACGAGTTGAGAAGAAAAGAAAGGAGAAAGTTCTTTTTCCTTGTTGGCCTTTATGTCGGGAAGAAAAAACCAACCGTTGAAAGTTTTTTAACCCCAATCTGTACCGAAATAAGATCATTATCAACGGATCCCATGGAAATTGATATAAATGGAAAAAGATCTAGAAAGGTTTCTTGTCATTTGATTGCTTTGATAGCAGATGCTCCAATGAGAGCCTACCTGAGAAATGTCCGACAGTACAACCATGTGAATGGTTGTGACTGGTGTCTTATACAAGCGACAACTGCTAATGGAGCTCGCCTCTACGCAAATTCTACTCGCGCTGAACTTTATGAGCTGAGTAGAAAAAAAGAAGATTTTTTTCATTACAAAGCGCAAAGAGAAGAAAATCAAAATCAGAATCATATTCAATTCAATCCAAGATTCAAAGGTATTACTGGTGTTTCACCGTTGCTAAATCTATTAGACTTTGATATTGTGGATGGAGTAAGTGTAGAGCCAATGCACTGTATAAGTTTAGGTGTTTTTCGGAATTTCGTGATCAAAGGAATTCTTGGAAATAATACCAGTATATTTGAAAGTGGAATAAATCTTAATAGATTCATGTCCTCAATTGCTGAAAGATTAACAAGTATCAAAGTCCCGTCAGAATCAGCAAGAATTGTAAGAGGAATGGATGAAATAAGACTATGGAAAAGTTCTGAATATGATTCTTTTCTATCTTACTTTTTCTTCTCTTCTGTGAGAGGCCTGCTTAAGAAAAGTGTTATAAACTACATATCTTGTCTCTGTAGAATATATTACTTATCTCACATTGGACCAGTTAATCAGGCAATTATCGATGAAATGGATAATCTAGTGGAAGAATATCAAATTGGGACTGCTACTCTTTTTGGAACTCGATTCCTTTCGTACAACCTTCATATTCTTTCTCATTTATCTAAATCTCTTCGCAACCTTGGACCAAGTGCTAGTGTATCATCATATCCTCTTGAAGATCACATGGGTAAACTCAAACATAAAGTTCGACGATATTCTCATATCGGACCGTCTTTGCTCAGAGTTTTTCTGAATGATTTGAAATTCTCAGAGCTTTGTGAAGTGAAACTCAAAAATTGGCAGCTGAATCATAAAGAAAAAAGAAACTTTGGATTGTGCGAAAAAAACAGTGAGATTAAAAAAATTCCTTTAAGATCAATTTCCGATTCGATGAAAAATTTAATTTTCGAATCAATAGAAAATCAATTGGATCCAATTGGGTTAGTGAATAATCAAATATCTCATTACAAATCAATCTCGAAGTGTGGAATAAGATATTCAATCGCTGAATATTGTCAAGACAAACAGAGAAATGATTCCATTATTTGTGTTGGAGAAAAATTTTACAGAATAAAAGCTATTGTTGGATTTAGAGAAAAAACTCTTTTTCTCTGTCAGCTTTTTACCTCTAAACGCGTTCATTTGGCTTTTCAAGGGTTCAGTGGCTATTTTTCATTCAGTTTAGATCACATCTACGAAGTAACTGAATCAGATCGTCGTCATTTCGATTGCATCGATATTGATAGTGATATTTCAAAGTGTATCTTTATTCAATCAACAACTTTCTTTTTCAAATATTCTAAAGACTTCATCATTAAACCCTTTCTAAAAAATATTTAAATTCACTGGATTAATCACTGAAAAAGAACATCAATTTATTCTTAAGGTAAGCTTTCCATATGACTTTCTCATTCTGTTTACATTTTAAATTTATCTTTTTCTTTTCTCCTCTTTGTGTTTAGAAATTTATCTTTTTTATCTCAAAATGGAATCTCAAGAGCAAGAAATTTATCAAAATTACGGTAAGTCTAATCATAATATTCGAAAATTATATTTGCATTGGTTGACTAAAATCTATTTCTTTTATTTTCTCATCACAAGGATTTAGCGTAAATATTGAAACAAAAACAACAATCAAAATCAACTGGTGTCCAATTCCCGTCGAAAATGATCTTCCTCTCCAACAACAACAATATCAACAAGATTCTTATCATCCTCAGCAACAAGATTCTCATCATCCTCAACAACAAGATTTTCATCAACATCATCAACAAGATTTTCACCAACATCATCAACAACAACAACAAGCTTATTCTCAACAACAACAAGATCTTTCTCAACAACAACAAGATTTTCAACACCAAAATTGTTATCGACAAAAAACGACAGTGAAGATAGTGATGATGAAGTTTTTTTCAATTATAAATTCGATGAATTTGATCAAAAAGGCCAATTTGAAGAAATGGATTATTCCCAAGAAGTGAAAGAAATGGAAATTTAATATTTTTCTTACCATTTTTCACGATCATTCATTATGATATTTATCTTTTATTTTTCTTCATATATTCAAGCTTAGCCAAAATTTCTGGTATCTTTATATTTATCCCACAATTTCAACAGTTTTTCTTATCGATAATTTTTCTTTTTCTCTGATTACAATCAATTTCACCACTTGTTATGCTCAAAATTCTAAAGAATAATATCCATATTCATAATTCAATATGATGAATTTTCTTGATTTCTGAATAGAATAAATTCAAATTCGATTTTTACATTTCGCTTTCTCTTTTCTTTGAAAGAAGCTTTATTCAGCTTGACTTTGGCTTAACGAATCTTTTGAGATGATTCATGCTCTTGTTTTCAGCTTTTGGATTTTTATTCTTTTCTCTTTTATTTTTTGACTAATTTTGAATCAATTCTAAAAATTGATTGCTGTTGAATCAGTTTTGAATCAATGAGTTGATTCAGTACTGAATCAAAACTAAATCAAATCGGCTCCTCAAAAATTACACTGTTGATTGGGTACTTTATCATTTGATTCATTGTCGTTCTCACACCTACTAAAATACATGAGTCATTCACCTGATCTATTTTTCAGTATGACCTCATTTCCATAGTAAATATGAATATATAAGAGTAGACAACAACAACTTCCTTATCCACAGTTCTTAGAATAGAAATTCAAAATCGCATATTGAATCGTTTCCACTTTCATTTTCCAATTTTTTCACCATCACAATTTAATCCATTTTTTCAGATCCACTGACTACTCTTTATGAACTTTGTATCTTTTTCAATATACTGGCCTGTGGTCAATAAATGCTATGTATCATTTATAATAATCTGTTAATTCAGATCACGTTTCTCAGCAAATCCATGGTAAATTCAAATATATTAACCAATGTTTTTTTTTCTCGCAGTGACCACATTACCAATGGTCCAAATCTATGACTTGGACATTTAAATTTCATATGTCCAGTTAGGTTGACATGATAATTTAAATTTGATTAATGAAAATGATGATTCAAATGAAAGTTTAATTACAATGTGAAAATTATTACATTGAACTTTTAATTGGGTCAACAAGTTTAGTTAATCGGATCATTAATAACAATGATAACCTTTAATCCAATTATCATTGGCGATTAATTTTTCGTAATAAAGTCAAGAACTTAATTGTTGATTGAAATGATTATATGAATGATGAATATTAATTATGGAAGATTAAGCAAACTTTTCAATCAAATTCTCAATTTAAGTTGAAAGTTTTTCCACTTTCATGGAGAGAGAGGAGAGAGAGAGAGATGGTTATCATGATAATACATCCACTTAATCGCTTGTAATCAGAGTTTCATGAATTTCTCAGTGAAAAAGTTATCAGCATTTGCTTTTATCAACTTAGGGAAGGGAAATTCATTTCATGATATTTACATGTTGGATATTCAGATTGATGAGATAAAATTCTGGTTGGTAAAAAAATCTGGTCTCTCAAACTGATATAAACCATGAACACATTTACATTGAATTTGAATCAACTGAATCTCGGATCAGAACTTTTTTTTATTATAATCATTTTGTTTTCCATTGAGATTGAAATTCTGGTCTTTTTTTCATTCTAACCCTCCTGAAAGTTTCAAATACATGAATGTTCATGTTCATTGCTATTGATTGACCAAAGTTTCAGTATATCAATAGATTGAATATAAATTTCAAGCTGATTAATGAACTTTTGTTTGGAGATAGAAAAAAAAAGAAAAGAAAAAGAAATTAGTATTAAAACGAATTGAAAATAATTAAACATCAATCTATTCCAATGTAAATTAATTGTAATGATCATCAGAGGGAATAATGTTCAAAGCTGGATGAAATTTCTGAAAATCTTCATGAAAAGGAATCAAATGGAATCAATGGTGAAAACGTCAATAGAAAAAGGAGAAAAGGAAAAAAAAATTCTGTCCATTAACGAATTCAATTGATGATAATCATGGCAATTACTTTGTTTGGTGATAATAATAATGACTGAGGAAGGATGATGATAGGGTGAAGAAAGTTTTGTTGACCATCAACTGGACAGAATATTTATCGTGATTAAGAGAAAGCTGATTAATCAGATTATCTGATAAAATTGTGATTCTGTTGATAATCTAAATGAAAATGAATAATCTACACGCGTGAATGATAATATTCAATTCCAAGTGTAATTTATTGAGTCTCCATATCGTAAGAGATTATCAATAGATGACCGTAAGAAAATATACCAGGATCAGAATCCTCCATGCAGGGAAAAAGTTCATAAACAAATGGAGGATAAATCAAGGTTGAAAGAGAGCAAGAGAGACCATGAAAAACACAGAATTGATTCCGAGTTCTGTGGTCATTGGATGAAGTTTTATGTATATAAATAGTGACTATCTTTTTCTATGGTCCATTACAGATTTTATTATCTGTAGCCAAAGAAATGATGATGATGATGATGATGATGATCAGGATGAAAAAGAGGTAGTGGTGAGTGAGAATGGAAGACAAAAGTTCTGGTTGATAATATTCTGGGCTTTTCCCTACACAAAGAAACAGAGTAAGAGGATAAGATGAACATTCTGAAAGATAAAACTCCAAAGGGATAAGGTAATATATGAATGTCTCTAAAAAAGGATACCTGATATATTATTACTATTATCGGTATTAATACTATTTTTATTACTATTTGTCCAATCATTGATTTTTTATCCCTCCCTGTATATACATTCAGCTTGGATGTCTTCATCTTTTCCTCTCTCTTTCTTTTCATCATCTACTTTCTCAACAACCTCTTGATGTCTTACTTTTTTTTTCTTCTCAACATTTTTTATCTTGGAGATTTATAAATACTATTTCTATTTACTTTTTTTTCTAAAAAATAATATTCTAGTGCTGGAATCGGTAGAACTGGAACTTTTATTGTTATCGATATGATTATTGATCAAATTAAGAGACAAGGATTGGATTGTGAGATTGATATTCCAAGAACAATTCAAATGGTGCGATCTCAAAGATCAGGACTTGTACAAACGGAAGCTCAATACCAGTTCGTTTATCTGGCCGTTGAACATTATATTGAAACTTTACAACAGCGTTTACTGGCCAAACAGGTACAAGGAACAAGCCTCTGAATCCGAAAGCTTTTAACTCTAATCTTTGCAAACGAGCAAACCACCAATTCCAACCTCCACCATGTCCTCACCACCACCACACCTCCTCCATTAAGATTCACTTCTCCTCCTTTCGCACTGACACAACAAACGCATACCTGATAGTTTCAAATACTTTCGATTTATTTTTTTAATCGCTACTCACCTTCTCACCATTATCATCCCTGTTCATTTTAATCTTTCATTCGTTAATCTCAATCTTTTAAATTCTAATCCTTATCCCTTGCATGAACTTTTCCTCTCTCTCTTTCTCTCTAAATGCTTTTATTTTATACACAAAATATTCATTTCTACTTTGGAAGAAAAGAAAAGAATTTTCATTCTAAATCTTGATAATTTCCGCTGTTTTCTTTATAGTAATAGTATATCTTTCTCTTTCATGTTCATCGTCCATCTCATCACTCTCTTCATCCTCTCTCTCTCTCTCTCTCTCTCTCTCTCTCTCTCTCTCTCTCTCTCTCTCTTCCGTTATTTCAGCCATTCGACCATAGAAAATTTCATCTTCATTATCATCCACCGATGATGGTGATACTTGATACCACAAGTTATCTGACAAATTTCCAAAGTCCAGTCTAAAGTTTCTTCTTCAATCTTACTCTTTCCATCTCTTCGTGTACTTTATCATCATTATTATCTGAATGATTTTTATATTTATTTTCACTCTTTTTCTCTTTATATTTTATCATTCAGAACTTTTCTCATCTTGTTATTAATCATTCTGAAATTTATTAATTGTTTTTTTCTCCTTTCGTTATTGTGTCTTGTCCGTAACTTAACTTCAGATGGAAACAAATTGGAATCGACAAACTTGTTAATCATATTCATTATAAAAAGAGTCACTAACAGGGAAAATATTACTCACACTTGTCAGTAAGACAGAAAACAAAAGCCACTAATGTTCAAGTTTTTCATCAGTATTCAGTTCCAATCATGATGATAAGAAATGTGATACTCAACGAATTGTTATTAATTTTTTTCTAATATAAACATATACATGTACCTAAGACTTGGAAAGTAAAAAAAGTAGAATAATATTCCATCGTCAAGTTGAAACTAAATTGGAATCAGACTGAACAATTTCATTACATTTAATTGCAACGAAACTAATGCTCATCAATAGGCTCAAGGAAAAAAAGTTCTCAAAGTTTATCTTCGTTACTAATCAACATGAACAATTAGTGAGAATAGAAATTTTCTTCGAGTATGAAAAGAAAGAATTGGAATGTACAGTAATCGAAGTTTACTTCGAGAAATGACTTATATATCTGGTTCGTAAGGAGAAAAAAAGTAAACAAACACTACTTTGAGTACTTCGAAAAAGAAATAAAAAAGTTCTAATGCAAAAATGTTCCAAGTTCAATTCATTGTAAACTATTTTCCATGGCAGTGGATGTTATTATTAAGGAATCAAGTGTTAGTAACCTTTTTCAAGAATGAAAATATGAAAAGTTTTTTAGCGTTTCGAAAGTGTATATTCACATATAAATATGAGAAAACTTTAAGGTGGAAGAAAAAAAAAGTTCTGAAATATTCAGTGTGATAAAAGAAGAAAATAAAAAAAGTATCGAAATAAATCAGGTCGAGAACATTATTTTCAACTCTAATAGACTTCAGATAAATGATATTACGATTGTTTCGATATTTTGTATATTGAGTATGAGAAAATTTTCTGATTTCTGTTCATTTTTGTCATGAAAATTTACACTCTATCAGGTTTGAGAGTCTTTGTTTTATCCAACTCTTTTCCTTAAAGAAAAGTTCTGTTCAAAAATGAATACATATGAATGAATGAATTCTGTTGAATGAGTAAAACAACATAAGAAACAAAATGAATAACAATATATTACTTTTCTGTTTCCATGAAAACTTATGGTTCAATTTGTTGAGCTTCAGATTTTTTTTTACTTCTTCTCCATGAATCAAAAAATCTGAAACTCTCAGCAACAATATTGAGCCTAATTTATATCAACAACAATGTTCCAGATAAAAGTAAACAATTTGATTAAATAATTGCTGGTTGTGGAGGAACAATTAATCCTCAGGTATTTAGGACTATTTTTTTTCTCTCAATCAACTCAGAACTTTACCTGAGCTTGGTGAATACTATTGAGCAGCTTAAGGATTCAGAAGAGTTTCTCATTCTCATTTTATTCTAATAATAATAGCTTTTCTCCTTCATAATCATACTTCATGATTGTTCATCCATTTAACTGTTACCATCATCATCATCATCACTGCCCTTGGGGTGAATAGATCAACAGTTACCCGGTAAAAATATCTCATGGAATGTGAATGAATATATATTGAATATATGTTGATTCTGATCACAGAATTGAGGAAATATAATATTTCATCATTATCGTTGCATCAACAATTAATACTCTTAAAGTCATTAAGAGTTAATCATTATTAGAATGAAAGTTCAATGAAATATTTACTTTTACCCTGAAATCAAATCAAAAGAATCATCAAAGATTTCGTAAGTTCAATGGATTACAATCATATGATTATCTTTCAGAATCATCATGATCTTCAATCTAATCCATTAATTTTCCTTAAAAACAATTTGCTTTATTTTCATTCACCATGAAAAATACCATGGCAATTGTTTTTTCATCTTTTCACTTACGAAAACTTAATTATCTTCTTGATTTGATTCAATTTAATAGATCAAGTCAACATTTCAAGTACAAGTAGCAACAATTAAATTGTTGTTGTTCTGTTTGGGTTAGTAAATTATCAAGGCACACAAACAATTAAGGATTAAATTGTTATTAAACAATGTTGCTTTTCATATGAGGATTATAATGATATAGTTATAAGAAGATGATAAATTAACTTGAATCAAAATTAATAAATATTATACTCAGACTAATGCTGATGAGGGTAAGATAAAAATTCATGGGATCATCAACATGATCATCATTATCATTATGATACAATTGTTGGTGAAAAAATTTGCATAAAGCACAATAATATTGCTTATAAACCAACAAGATGACAGAGCCATCAAGCTTTTTCATTGTTATCATCATTAGCATCACCATGATATGAGTTATATTATTATTATTATCAATTTCTGGCTCTGGTTGACTACAGATTGATTCTGATCATCAGCTGAAACTATTCATGACTAATAATTGTCAACTTAATGATATAATGATTTCAACACTAATATTTGATTGATTATTCTTTGGCTGTGTGAGCAACAAACTGAATACAAACATCATCAAGTTATGGTGATTGAGAATAATTAAATCAATCATGATGGTAATTAAATCAGATTTACATAGCCTTTGATTTATAAGAATTCATTCACAACTCTATCATTATTATTATTGTCATGATATCGAAAAAGATAACAGAGAATAAATGAAAAGATAGAAAATATCGGAAGAAAAAGGGAAAAGACAAATCGATTCTAATAGTTGTTCTTGGTGAATAAGAAGATAAAACAAAACAAAACAAAAAAGATCTAAAAGATTTAAGGTGAAGAGAGAGAGAGAGAGAGAGAGAGAGAGAGAGAGAGAGAGAGAGATGAGGGATAAAAGGTCATCATCATCAAGAATATGGATGAAAGAGGAAGATAAAGTGAAAGATGATATAAGATAAATGAAGAAAATGGTAAAAGTGAAACGAGCGATAGATGAGGTTGTCGTTATATGTTATCATCATTATCGTTGTTAGATAAGTGACTGAACATGATGATGAACAAGTTAAGAAAAGAGTGAGAGAGATAACATGATACAAGATGAATAAAGAATGCAAATGATGAAATACTTTTTACTATCCAATGGAATGACTATAAATAAATGTTACAAGTTGGAAGAAAGAAAAATAATCTCTCTTCATTCTTACTTTTGGGTGACACTATTAATCTAAAAGCTTTAAAGGGCTACTCGGGGAGTGAATTCTGTTGTTATTTGGACACAATATCATGGAAGAAGAGAAGAAGAGGAAAAGGAAGAGTTGATGCTTAGAATTCTGTGTATAAGTGTGAGAGATAAATTGTATCTATTTCAATTGGAGATTCAGCTTTGAAGACTATCAGTGATTCAGCGATAAAAATCAGAATCATTATTATTATCATCATAAGAAAAGGAAGAAGGAAAAGAAAAGAGAAAACAAAACAAAAGCATAAGTTGGTTTTTTCCTCTTTTTGTTTTCAACCAAAGTTAAGTTCAATCAAATAGAGATAATCAGAGAGTGGATATAATCCTTAGTGATAGAAGGGCGAAAAAACTTTGATGGACTGAGGGATAGTTCCAGTGTGGAAAAGCTGATAGATGTGTTTTCTTCAATCGAGTTTACAATGAAAAATTGTCTCTAAGACACTTTGGTATTAGAGATGAAGCGAGAAAATCACAAAGCCTCATTGCTTCATTTAGAAATATTCTCAGGATATTTGATTCAAATGATACATGATACTTTCTATTTATCTTACTTGGACTTACATGGAAAAATACATTTGCTTGAAAACCAAAAGAATCAAATCTCAAAAGTAATAGAAAAACTTTTCACTGTTCAATCTTATAGATTGAGCCTTTGGTTCATCATGATAATCACATGGACAATAACAAATACAACATGATGATAGATGGTAAAAGGTCAAATTTGAGAGAGAGAGAGAGAGTGAGTGAAAAGTTCTGAGATTTATATTCATGAAAAACAAGGTAATCGTTCAGCAAGAATGATACAATCGATGAAAACTGATATATTAAAAAAGAGAATCAATTTTCTGCCTTGTTTTACATTCAAAAATCTTATTCATCCAAAATATTATAATAGTTATAAAAGAAAAAGTGTTCTCATTCATATAGTCGTGAAAATGAGTTTCGTATAGTTTTTGATACGCACAGGTAAAATTTGAATTAAGAAAATGATTTCATCTAGTTCTGTCGGTGGAAAATATTGAGTTATATGAGAAAATATATATTCATGAGCGTATTGATAACTGTTCAATCTTTAAGTGTCTCTTGAGGTTTTTACGTTTTTCATAACAAAGTTTCAAGTTAATATTTATGGTTAGAATTCAATTGAAGATATGATAATATCATCTTCAACTTTATCATCACAATCATGATGGAAACTTAAATATTTGCTCAGATACTTTTTTCTTACCCTGTTTTCATCCCAATGGTAAATGAATAACCATTTGTCTTGTTCATTTTTCATTCATATAAACTGATTGATTGTAAAAGTTGAACAATTTCAGTTTTAATGAAAAATACTGATGGATAATTAATTAAACCATCAACAGAGAAACATCAACATAATAATCAAATTTGACCCTTGGCTCATTTTCAGGTGATATTAGGACAAGTTCAGTAAATGACAAAAAGTTTCAACTTTTCAATTGAAATTGATTATAAAAAGATAATGTTATCACGTAAACGTAATCACTTTTTTTTTATAATCAAATTGTGTTAAATTATCATGATTAACTTAAGTAAAAAGTCATCAGGTTAATGTTTGGAAAAAAAGTTCAAGAATTGTTCTGAATCTATTCAGTTTCATGATGGTTCTTGAAATTAGATATCGTTTATATATGAATGCTCATGAGGGTTGGATGTAATTCTTGAATTTTTTTTCATTAAATGTGAACACTTTCACCAATTAGATTGAAATGATTTACTATTGAAATGAGTTTTCAAAAATTCTTAATGAATTTTGTTCAGTTTAGTTTATTTTAAGGGATATTTTTTTACTTTCAGTTGCGAAAAGTGATCATTTGTTTTTGATACTCACCGATTATCGTTAAATTGTTTAGTGTGTTAATAGTTCGAGCCCATTTAAAGTCAACTCGGCATAAATACAGTCCAGTATCATCTTGTTTAACTGGATCAATGGACAGTAAACCAGGACGGACGGAGAGGTTAAATTTTGCTCTATTTTTAAACTCATCTGAGGTAAAATGTGAAGCTTTTTCCACTGGTGAATTTCTGGCATCCACACTGTATATTGGTGGACTTTTACGATCATTTTTATACCAAAGTATTAAAGTTATCGAATCTTCAGCTGAAGGAATTGTAAGGTCACATGGAAGGTCAACTCTTGACCCAGACGATGTTGAGAATTGATTAAGCACTGTAAAAGGAAAATAAAGAAAGAAACATGAAAAGAATAAATAAATTACACTAATTCAATGGAGTTCTAATGATTATAACCTCCAATTTCCGGAGAGAGAAAGAAAAAAAAATTATTCATAACATTTACCAACTACTAATTTGATTGAATCTAAAACTTTATCCACAAGGAATCAAATTATTCCCTGGAACTGGAATTACTAATACAATAAGAAGGAACAATTAAAACAGAAATCAGCTGATGAAATTGAACACGAAAGAAACAATAACAATTTCTTGAGTGATTTTCTGATTTTCATTTTTCTGTTATCATTAATCTTATCCATGTACTATTATTATTTTTATCGGTTAAATTTCCATCATGATAATGGGTGATACATATTCATCACCGTTATATAACTGTAATCGTGTTACCATGAGCATGGAAACTTTGATTGTTAACTTTTCTCATTGTAAAGACCATGGAAATGTGTTAGAGATGATTAATAATCTTTAGATTGATAATCATAGTTACAGAACTTTTCTTAAGCTTAAGTTAATGTTATCATGTGTCTCTCGTTCGTTTTGCTAGGCAATTGAATTCATTGATTCGTTGATTTGATTCAAGAATTGAGTAAAATGCTGACGATAAAAAGGAAATTTCATCCAAAGAAAATTAAGAGATAGATAAAAGACTCTAATCTCCATGCAAAAAGCTGAATCAGAAAGTTCTGACAGATTGAATAAAAGAATGAGATACTCTTTGGTCATCATGATGGGAAAAAAAGGTCAACGTTAGTTAAAAGTTTTCTATCCTTAATCTCTTACCTGTAACATCATCAAATTGATTGATGGTCTTAATTTGGATTCCAGGTGAACCTGTTATATATTTACAATAAGAATAGGAGACAATATATTAGTCGATGATAATTTATTTCTATTAGTTAACGTTTGACTGTGTCAACGAAAAGAAAACAAAAAGTTGGAGACGAAATTTTTTCCTTTTTTTGTCTATTCTAAAACTTATCATGTTAAAGATAATCCTTATTATCATGGTGACTCCTTATTCCTAGTTAATTCTCATGACTGAGTAGTTCTGTTCAAAAAAATTGTCTACCCAGTGTTTACATATGACATTTTTTTCTGTTTGTTTTTTGAATTAAAATCAGAAAGTGAGATGAGTGAGTAGTTTGTGGAAGTAAAGAAAAATATTGAGATGAAATTGATAAATGAAATGCAACTTGTTATATATTGAGAAATCATGTCAATCTCTCATCGGAACTTGAAACTTCTGAAATCTGATCAAAGTCGTAGCAAAGAAAGAAAGAAAAGAAAGAGAGATTTCTATGTCATCCGTTATTATCGAAATAACATTTTCTTTTCCATCAATATGATTCCAACTTTTTTTTGTTATTCTTTTCCTCTTTTTCCCTCTTTAGTTTTGAGAAGGAGAAAAATATCTTTCAACCAAAATAGTGTTTCTTTTGTGTTATTCAAACATTTTATTGTTATATTACATTTATATTGTGTCACCTATGGAAACAGTTTAATAGAAATTAGTTCAAGCAAGAAAATGTTAAAAAAAGAGAGAGAGATGAGAAAAAGTTCTGTCTGAATAACTGAATTTCTCATGTTTACCATAATCATAGACAGGATGAGATGTATCAATGCAAACATATTACAAATCTGAGCATGGGAAGAGCATAGTAAGTGAGACATAGTGAAAATCTCATCGTCATCATCATCATCATCATCACCATTATTATTATCATCATCATAATGACAACAGTTATCCTTGAAATTATCAGTATGATTCAAATTCACAATGTTATCTGTCATCATCATCTTTAAATACACGATATTAAATGGTAACAGACGAAGGGAAAATATGAATCATAATAATGTTCATAATGATGATGATGATATAATCATGAAACCGGAAGGAGGTTACCTGTCAATTGATAAAATATGAATAGCTAATTTATATATTATCCATATTGCCATTTATATATAAATGATCAACTTTTTTCACATGACAAATTATCAACAATTAACAATGTCACAGTATTTATGACATGTTTATATGATGAAACAATGTTGCCTTGTGAAAATAACTGACCCTTTCCATGTGACATGATGGACAGTAATTGTCATGAAAGTTTTCAGTTAAACACCTCCAAGTATTCAATGGTTTAATCTCATATCACCGTCATCATGAAACCTCATGAATAATTAGCTATACATATAAGCTTAGTTAACGGAAATCCACAATTAAATGTAACATTATATTTACAACTTTATACTTTTAGCAATAAATATTTACTACTAATTACTAGCAATCAATAAACCTTTATTATTATTATTATTCAAAACCGGAATATATATTAAATTATATCATTTTTAATTGTTGATAATTATTATTTTCAATAGACCAGATCAATAAGAATAATAAAAGTCCAATCAAAATCCAGAAGTGAATAATATTTTGGTCAACATGATGACGATGATGATAATAATAATGTTGATGTTGGTCAGTTTTGGGTCAAGTAACACTTGTAATATAATGCTAGATATTAATGCTGATCAGTGAAACAAGTACAGTGTCCACCATAAGAAAAGGAAGAAGAAAAAAAAAACAATAACTCCCAGGGAAATGCTGAGTTAACCCAAAAATAGTAACACAAACAATCAAATACCCTTTACTCGTTTCCTTCCTTCCACTTTTATCATCATCATCATCATCATCATCTCCTTCTTCATTCTGCTCCTCCTGCTGAGTATTAAATTCTACTGAGTATTCCTGACGATCAGAACTCATTCATTATGCATGATAATTTAAGACACTTTTGTATATTTAGATTATAATCTATTCAGCTTAATGGTAATAATAATAAGAAACAATAGTGAGATTTTTTTTCTCTTCTCGCTCTATCCTAACATCCTCATGGAAAACAAAAAAAAATGCTTTCATGATGTTTATCAATACTACGATTCATTATATTGATTTTTTTATCTCCATCATCATCATGGAAGATGAACTGAGAATTGGATTCATTTTGATGAAGATAATGAAAGAGAAAGAGGAAAGAAAAAAAAGTAAAATCAATAAATCATTTAACTGTGAACAATTTTAATAATAATAAGAATCACAAATTGGTAATAACAATAAATTATCATCAATTAATGGTTAATATTCAATGTTAATCCAGAAAATTATCACCATTTCCATTGAATATTAAACCTAATCCATTTACTTTATTGTCCATTCAACTGTATGGTCAGTATTTTCAGAGATCATTGTCTTCTAAATGTAATGGTATTAATATTTTTCACCAATGGGCAAAAGTAAACAGATGAAAAAGGAAAAGGAAATGAAGGAAACTTTATCGAAGCTTATTTTTCAATTCAGGATATTCACTCTCATTTCAAATGGTCTGAAAATAATGTCTATATAATCACCATAAAGATTATGACCATTTCTCGGTGATGAAATTTTTCCGCCTAAAAAAATGTTCAATTCACACACGAGACTATTACATGTAGTCTATTAGGTTTATCGTGTATATATAAATACATGTATGAGTATCTCCATATTTCCCCATGATATTCATGAGTAAGAATATTAAGAGAACTTAATAAAACAACATTCGATTGGAATTGTAATAATAATAATGCTGATATAAGAATAATATTTGAGGTGATAAATGAATGTTTAGATTGAGACACAATGTTCCAAATGAAATCTCTCGAAGTACAAAAGAGTTCAAACAATAACAATGCGAATGTTTTTGAATTTTTGTTAATATTACAGAATAGAAATAGTCATTAAGATATTATGAGAAAGAAAATCTTCCAAAGAAAATGTTGATACGATAAAGTGAATTTGGTAATTTGATGATATTAATGATAATTTAATGTCATCATTTTGTTTGAATCTATTTTTAATTCTGAACAACTTGGTTTCCAAGTTTATTTAACTCTAAAAATAATCATCATGAAAATTATTCAATCTATTGGGCATTTGGGTTTAATCATGTTCATTATTTTCAATTTTCCAATTCTCAATTTGGATGATTATCTATTTCATAGTGAAGGTTAATGTGGAAATCAAGTAATTGCTCAATAAACTTCAATCTTCCTTTGAGTTCATTAATCACATGATTAGTTATTATGGTGAAAGGAGAAAAGGATGAACTGAGAATGACAATGAATTGGATGAAAATTTTGATAATCTTTTAGGTTTTTTCTCAAAGTAGAAAAGAAGAAGAGAAAATTCCAACCAAGTTCAGCCGAAAGGATGAAAGATGATTGGAAAGAATTGAATAAAGTTCTGAAAGATGAGAGAGTAGGAAAAATAAGAAGTAGACAATATGTAAATGTTGATAGAATGATGGAAAAGGTTTATTACTTTTCATCGAATCATTGATTAGAATCTGAGACGATAATCAATATAAATCATGTATGGAATAGAGATAAAAGAAAAACAGAGACAGAAAAATAATAAAATTCAATATCTTTAGTTATTCCAAGAATTGGAATAACATTTCATGAAAGATTCATCATGGATTGAAAAGTGAGAAAAAGAAGAAGACGAAAAAAAAACTCCAAAACTAACTGACAACTTCTGGTCATCATGAGATTTTCAATTCATCTCTTTCATCTTCATCATCAACATTATTAATATTATCGGTCCAGTAGAAAACCAAGAAAACACAATACACATCACAAGTACAATAGTACAACGAAAATATCAGCAAGGTTATGTATCAACTCATCAATAGAATTCGAAGAAAAAAAAGTTTCGTCTTCTTCATCAATGGGAATTGAATTGATTCCCAGGTCACTTATTCTGAAAGTTATCATCTTTATATCTTTTTATATATATAACTTGTTACAAGCTCGACTGGACAAACGATGATATCATAACTACGATAAGGGAAAGATTTTATCAAAAACATGATCATCTCTGAACATGCACCTCACCCTGAAGATGATAAACTCTATTCAACTTATTATGCAATTTGATAATCTTTGATAGAGAAAATCTCTCATGAAACTCATGTAATATGTTAAATGATAACATGGAAAATAATCAACATTACAACCAGAAAATACGGAATCGTCATGAAAGTGAAGAAAACATTGCATTCAGATTCCATCGTGAAGTGTTTATATATTTAAGTGTTGGAACTGGAATATAAAAAAGTGCTATAAAAAATGTAGTGAAAAAATCGTAAGTGATAACATGGCAAGGAAAAGTATTAGATCAATGGAATACCTTGTCACTCATGGCGTTTCTTTGATTGGAATCATTTTTTTTTTCTTCTTCTATTAGTTCTATTCTTTTTTTTCTTCATCATCTGAATAAGTTTTCGCTTACTTATTTCCCTTGCATGAGTTTTATTCCCCTCTCATCATCATCTTAATCATCATCAAGTTCACTGGACTTTGTTGTTTTTATTTCAATATCATTCATTCATTCATCATACTAAACTTTTACGTTACATTTATGATTGTTACACTGTCTCCCTATGTGAGCATTTATCATGAAAGTTACTGAGTCAGATTGTTTTTTTTTTGCATTCTCCACTCTCTAGGAATGATTCAAGATGATGATATTCTTGAGGGGTTTCTTGAGAGAGTGAGACATTTTCATTATCATGAAATAACATTCAAAGTGAATACAGATAACCTTGTCTGTCTCGATTGTTTTTATCTGATGAACCTTTCACCATCGTAGACAATGTAACTATTCATGTTATTGAAAAAAAACGTATCTTAATGTTAGATGAAGATGATGGTCATTCTGATGGATAAATAATAAAGAAAATAAAAACAAATAAAATAAAAAGATGAGGAAACAAAGCACAATTTAGATG